AAAAAGAGTCTTAGATGACTCTAGCTTATGTGAGGTTGACATAAAACTGGCCAGCACAGTGGCACGTTCTTACAATTCCTCTGGGGATGTGAGCCTGCAGGGTTGTCTGTTCAAGGACAGTCTGAGTGAGACTGGCAAAAAAGATTTTTTTTTTTGAGCGGCTACCATTAAAGTACTTTATCACAAAGACTTTCAACGAGGCATTGTGGGATACGGTAGTGGGGTGCCTCCCTAAACTGAGGGGTTATTTATAGAAAGGTAGCAGCTCCTTAATGGGAGCTGGGCTTTCTGGGTGGACCTGATGGAATTCATGAGCTTGTTTTTCCATCTTAAAACTATCATGCTCCAGTTTCACTGCAAATGCCTCAGTGAATACCACTTTCTGTTCCAGGCGGAATGATAATTTAGGACACTAACAATGGGTGTTGGGGTCAGGGAAGGAGACAAGAGGAAGATCAAGTCTAGTCTCTCATAGGCTCAGAGCTAGCCCTCACACACAACCCTCACACACACAAAAGGATTGCATTCTACCTTCAAGTGGAAAATGTTACCCAGCAACCAATAATCATCAAAAGATAAAAGAGACATATGACCACAGAGATATAGACAACTGGTTACGCTTTCACTTAAAGCTCATACATTTTAAACATTCCTTTCTCCATTTTATCTATGTATCTATGTATCTACCTATGTATGTATGTATCTATCTATCACCTATCTGTCTGTCTGTCTGTCATCTATCTTTGAGACAGGGTCTCACTGTACGGCTCAGGCTGGTCTCAAACTTGCAAACCTCCTGCTGGAGCCTCTAAAGTATAGGATGAACTTTGTTTTGGGTTGTTCCAGTAATGGGCAGCGACTATCTTAGCCATATAAAAAATGCAGGTATATATGTAAATATTTAGAGAGAGTGTGTTAAAAATCATCCAAAATTAATTTTGAGAGGATTCCCACTTTGTATAATCAGCACACAATTGAAAAAAAAAATTAAGCTTCTGAAATTCCTTTTTGGAAAGCAGGAAAAATATTCGAATTAATTAAAGTGTTTTTTTTTTTTTTTTTTTTTTTTTTTTTTTTTTTTTTTTTTTTTTTTCTGAGACAGAGTTTCACTATGTAGCCCCGGCTGTCCTGGAATTTACTATGTAGACCAGGCTGGCTTTGGACTCATAGGGATCCACCTGCCTTTGCCTCCTGAGTGCTGAGATTAAAGGTGTGTGCCACTATGCCTCACTTTAATTTTTGAAAAATTGACATCAAAATATCAAACTTTAGAATCAAATATCAATTAAATAATCAAGCATCAAATGGTACTCACCATGGTACCTTTACAGCAAAAAGTGCAAATTACATGAAGAGTCTATATGGGCAATCTGAAATCAACACAACTATGTGCTAGAACAACACCAATAAACCTGTCTTTTAAGTAAAATAAAGATATATATACATACATTTTTGGCTAAGTTAAAAAAGTATGTCAGCCAAGAGATTCTAGCTGTTATGATGGGTTGGCTAAACACAAGTGTTGAGGACAATGCTCCAGGCACAGGAGTTGTCTTTCATTTTTCCTTAACATGAAGTCAGAGAAGATAAAATTCCAAAGGGTAAATTCAGAGTTCATATAGGTCAGCACATTACTCACATGTGTGCATTTGACTTTATTAAAGTAGTCACAATGCAATAAAAACAGATAATGACAGTTAATAATTGACTCTTGAATACTAATTGGGAGGTGACCGCTAATAAACTCTACAGCCAAGGTTCATGTACAATGAGGGCTATATCAGGTCATTTTATCATCCCAACACCACACTTCATTTTTTCTATAGCTACAAAACCATTTAAATATTCATAGCATATTTCCAAGTTGTCTGGAATATGGTTAAAAGCAGCTAAAACATTCTGCTTCTTTAACTCCAGAACCTCTTAAGGTGAAGGGTGAGTGCTAGAAGTGCCTTGGTCACCAGTCCCAGGAGACAGGCGTCTCCAAGTAACCCCTGCTGCAGCTCGACTGCCCGGGTGACTAAGTTCTCCAGCCCGCCCAGGTGTGCTCAGGCTTTCAGTCTGCAGAGCGTGCCCTACAAAAGTGTGTCTCATAGGAGAACAGCGAGTGTGACACCTCATTTTGTCACAGTAAAAGAAGATGTGACAAAAGTCCCTGTCCAGTACTTACAGCGTGGTGAATTTACCAACATGCACATTCTTGCATAAGACTTGAATGCTGAAATGGGGCTGTTTGGTCATGTCTACACTTAAGCACTCTGTCTTCAGAGACGCTGGGGTCTGTCAGGTATGCCCACATAGCTTGATGTGAAAGAGTAGATCCCTTAACTGGACAAAGTAACTGTCTAGTACAAGGAAAACCTAACTATGCCAGGTGACTGGGTTTGAGGAAGCTCTCACAGCAAGCATACCACCAGCGTCCCCCCAGCAGGAGGGGTGAGCCATTGCCCATCTTTAACATCAAGCCAGCTGGAAAATTGGAAAAGGGCTTGAAACCATTTACATTATCTTTGGGTGGTGGAAATGGCAGGTGATTTTCAAGTTTCTTTTATATGCATATCAGATTTTTTTTCTATAGAGATGTAATACTTAAATAATTTTACAAGTAAAAAAATTTAAAATTAAAAAAAGTTTAAAATTTTCATGATTTCCTTGTTTTCAATTGCTGAGTAGTATTCCATTGTATAATGTACCACAATTTCTGTACACATTCCTCAAATGAAGGACATCTAGGTTGTTTCCAGATTCTGGCTATTACAAATAAAGCCGCTACAAACATGGTTGAGCAAATGTCCTTCTTGCATACTTGAACAACTTTTAGATATGTGCCTAGGAGTGGCAAAGCTGGATCTTGAGGTAGCACTATTCCTAATTGTCTGAGAAAGCGCCAGATTGATTTACAAAGTGGTTGTACAAGTTTACATTCCCACCAGCAATGGAGGAGGGTTCCCCTTTCTCCACATCCTCTCCAGCATGTGTTGTCACTTGAGTTTTTGATCTTGGCCATTCTGATGATGTAAGGTGAAATCTCAGTGTTGTTTTGATTTGCATTTCCCTGATTAAGGATGTTGAGCATTTCTTTAAGTATTTCTCTGCCATATGATATTCTTCTACTGAGAATTCTCTATTTAGCCCTGTACCCCATTTTTTAATTGGATTACTTGTTGCTGTTTAACTTCTTGAGTTCTTTATATATTCTGGATATTAGCCCTCTGTCAGATATAGGGTTGGTGAAGATCCTTTCCCAGTCTGTCGGCAGTCGTTTTGTTCTGATGACAGTGTCCTTTGCTTTACAGAAGCTTTTCAGTTTCATGAGGTCCCATTTATTGATTGCTGATCTTAGAGCCTGTGCTGTTGGTGTTCTGTTCAGGAAGTTGTCTCCTGTGCCAATGAGTTAAAAGATTTTCCCCACTTTTTCTTCTAACAGGTTTAGTTTTATGTTGAGGTTTTTGATCCACTTGGACTTTAATTCTGTGCAGGGTGATAAGTATGGATCTATTTGCATTTTTTTTCTACATGTAGACATCCAGTTAGACCAGCACCATTTGTTGAAGATGCTGTCTTTTTTCCATTGTATGATTTTGGCAACTTTGTCAAAATCAGGTGACCATCAGGTTTATTTCTGGGTCTTCTATTCTATTCCATTGATCCACCATTCTGTTTCTATGCCAGTACCTTGCAGTTTTTATTACTGTTGCTCTATAGTACAGCTTGAGATCAGGGATGGAGATACCTCCATAAGATCTTGTGTTGAAGAGGATTGTTTTAGCAATTCTGGGTTTCTTGTTATTCCATATGAAATTGAGAATTTTTCTTTCAAGGTCTGTAAAGAATTGTGTTGGTAATTTGATAGGAACTACCAAATTAGGAACTACTGCATTGAATCTGTAGATTGCTTTTGGTAAAATAGCCATTTTTACTATGTTAATCCTGCCAAGCTATGAGCATAGGAGATCTTTCCATCTTCTGATATCTTTTTCTATTTCTTTCTTCAGAGATTTGAAGTTTTCTTCATACAAGTCTTTGACTTGCTTGGTTAGAATTACACCAAGGTACTTCATGTCCAATATTACTCAACAATTAAAAACAAGGAAATCATGAAATTTGCAGGCAAATGGTGGGAACTAGAAAAATATCATCCTGAGTGAAGTATCCCAGAAGCAGAAAGGCACACATAGTATATACTCACTTATATGTGGATATTAGACATATAATATAGGATAATGATACTAAAATCTGTGTACCTAAAGAAGCAGAGGAAGGTGGAGGTCCCTGGGTAAGATGTTTAATCCTCATTCAGAAAGGCAAACGGGACAGACATCGGAAGAGGGAGAAAATAGGGAACAGGACAGGAACCTACTACAAAGGGACTCTGAAAGACTCTACCTAGCAGGGTATTAAAGAAGATGCTGAGACTCATAGCCAAACCTTGGGCAGGATGCAGGGAATCTTATGAAAGAAGGGGGAGATAGAAAGATCTGGAGGGGACTGGAGTTCCACAAGGAGAGTAACAGAACCAAAAAATCTGGGCCCAGGGATCTTTTCTGAGACTGATACTCCAACCAAGGACCATTCATGGAGATAACCTAGAACCCCTGCTCAGATGTAACCAATGGCAGCTCAGTGTTCAAGTGGGTTCCCTAGTAATGGGAACAGGGGCTGTCTCTGACATGAACTGATTGGCCTGCTCTTTGATCACCTCCCCCTGATGGGGGAACAGCCTTACCAGGCCACAGAGGAAGACAATGCAGCCAGTCCTGATGAGATCTGATAGGCTAGGGTCAGACGGGAGGCAGGAGGATCTCCCCTACCAGTGGACTGGGGAATGGGCATGGGAGAAGAAGTGGGAGAGAGGATGGGGTTGGAGTGGAATGAGGGAGGGGGCTACAGCTGGGATACAAAGTGAATAAATTGTAATAAATAAAAAAGTGAAAAAAATTTTAAAAAGTATGAATGGTCCAATGTATACCATATTTTGGTGAAGCTGAGTTTAGAAATACCTGATCCTTCTGAATTCTCATCTCATCAACTTCACTTTCCGCATACTGTGGATCTCGGGCAGGGTCCTGGATCACCTTCAGTGTGCTGGTATTCTGAAATTACAATTTTCCAAGTCATTTTATGCCCGTAACCCACGTTTCCAAAAATGGACTAGTATCTGTCTAAGAGACCAAGCTCCATCAGCCTGGCCCCAAGAGCTCTTTGCTGTCTCCAGCTTTCATCAGACTCTTGGAAATCTACCTCAGTTACAAAGCCCCCCGGCCCCAAGCCCCAGCCAGACACCTCTCTCTTCTAAAGCCAGAGAGCTTGGTTTGGAAGGGGGCAGACCTACTCAGCTGTTAACCTTCATGGCGTTTTGTTGACGACATCTTAAACTTTCCATCGTTTTGGAACATGAGATAGAGATGGTGTTATTACAGTAGGACCTGGGGCGTTCCCTGTCACAGCTGACTGAACTGTCCGGGATGAGGAGCACACACCTTTGGCGGGAAGAGCTTCTCATACACCTTTTTCCACAGCTCCATTGGTGAGTGGGCCTGAAGCTTTCCAATGTCACTATCAGGAACAGGAGGGGACCCTGGAATTGAAAGTTTACCCCAAATGACTACAAAGATTAAATTATCATAAACTAGTAATAAAGCAAATGCCATTTATTAAAGTACAAATCTTAGGCCACCCATTTTCCATCTCCATATTACAGGCACCATTACAATCACGCCTACCTAGGCTGCTGTACTTGAAGCAGAGGCAGTGAGGAGCAATAGGTGAGTTATAACTCTGATTTTCCACACCCTGCACTGGTGTCTGCGCCCCATTAATAGTAATTCCAGATATGGACGTTTACACTGGAAACAAACATGTGTGTGTGTCAAGGATTTTGTTTTTCGTAAAACTGACCACTACCCAGAAGTTCGTTACTTGTAGATAACGAACTGTCATTATGCAGAGCTAAGTTTTATAACACTAGGAAACAGCTCAAATATTAACTAGAACTGAAGGTAGCATATACATTGAAAACCTATTAAAGTACACTAGGTTCAAGGCAACACAGACTGGTAAAGTTTTCTATACCACATACACACGTGTTTAAGTGCAGAGTGCTGGAGAGACATGGGAGAGATCCTCTTCACACACACTGTTCAGCTTCCTCTTCCTCCCTTGCAGTGCTGGATTGTACCAAGGACCTCATTCACTCGAGGCACTCTATCCTGAGCTACAGTCACAGTCCCCACTATTTTAATGAGTATAATGTGTTTATAATCTAAATATTTAAATTAATTTGAAAAAATTTAAAAATTTGTCATTTTCTGGCAATTTTCAATCTATATCCTGAGATTTGTCTTTCTTTCTGTTGTCCCTCCAAACTGTTCAACTGTTGGCCTTCCAGGGCTTCCTTACCATTTTGGTGAGAAAGTTGATTCACTACTTGAGCATGAGCATATGTGCGCACACGTGTGTGTGTGTGTGTGTGTGTGTGTGTGTGGGTATGTGTTTATGTGTGCGTGTGTATGTGTGTGTGTCTAACACTGGTATTTGGAACTGAACGTGAGTCTTCTGGAAGAGCAGCAGCTCTTAATCACTGAACCATCTCTCAGCTCCAGCTTTGTTATTTTTAAACTCAGTAATTAGCAAGCCTTTTCTGGCTAACTATTCTCACGGATGAAGAATTCCCATCAGTGTTATCGGCACACCATTCTCACAGATAGAAGAATTCTATCAGCATTGCCTAGTAACACACAGTGATTCTCAGTGCTCCTGACATTAAGCTGGCACTTAATAAAAAAGATGCCAATCTGCTAGGCAACACCATTCTATTCCTTGATAAACAGATTATGAAATCTGTGGGCTGAGAAAATACATTGCTGTAGCAGAGGCAAGCTATTCACTCTCGCTTTCTTAAGTGTTGAAAGAGGGTCTTGCTGTATAGCTAGTCTGTCTGCAACCTCCCCACCTCAGTCTCTCTAGTGCTAGGGTTAGCGGCTATTCCAGCACACACAACTGAAGACTTTTCTGATGGAGAATTAAGGGGTACCCGACGGTTCCTGGTTTATCCGATCACTCCAGTCTACGTATCCAATCATTATGTGCTCTGGAGTCCCCTGAGGAGGCTACCCTTCTGTTTTTTTTTTTTTTTAGAAAAATAGAGCTCAGAAGTCTGTCTGCATGTAGCCCTACCTCCTACCGCAAACATGTCAATGTGATGCAAGTGCCACCGATTCTGGGTATACAATAAATACATATGAAATAACTGTCATGGAAATAAAGCCATGCTGGAGACCAAGGAAACAGGAAGATAAAATCAATAAGCAATTTAAAAAGATTAAGCAGTATTAATAAGTTCACCAACCTATTTGACATAAAGAATCCAATCCTGCTGTGATAAACAGTGGTTTATTCTGATCCACACACATCGATTTGCTGTATGGCAAAGAAAAGATTCTAATTTAGTTCACCAATTGAATACGCTGCCACACTCTACTGTAAACACAAGGGCCATGCTTTATTTAAGTCACTGATGAGAGCATTGACCCAAACGGACCAGTGAACATTGATTGTGACAGGCTAACAAAGCCAAACCAGAAGAAAGAACAAAGACGAGGAAGCCAACACTTTCAATTCCATTTAAAATTAATAGAAGAAAATAATACCGAAGGAAAGCCGCTAAGATGAAAGGGAGATAACAGAAATCAGGGAGCAAGGATAACTGATTGGACAAATTTAACAGTACCTCTTATCAATACCAAATGCCAGTTGGTTGATAACACCACGGATTTTTAGTAACAGAGCTTCTGATTTGCTTGTAAACTTAAAAACAAACAGGAGATTAAATTACACTCTGCCCTATAATCTCCATGACAGGTAAAAATATGGTTCGAAACAAGCACAGACGGCAAGAGAATTACAGTTTTTTTTTGCCTCAAGACATTTACATTTGAGTAGACCAAACAGAAGCTGAGTAAAGAAACCTTGCTAAGCTTGCCTTGTTCTCCAGCATTCATGAGAACATGACATGGAACGGGTCCCTGTGAACACACCGGCCATTTCACCTCCTCAAATAATCAGAATTTTCTTTTAATTTGTACATTTGTGCTTGCCTGGAATGTCTGTAGTGTGTGTTAACATGAACACTCTTAATATGTTTTAAGAGAAAGAGTCCCCCGATCTAAACTGGGTTGCCTAGACAATGGGAGGCATACATCACGAGTGACTGTGGCACCTACAGTGTCCTGTGGCCATCAAGGCAGTTGTGTGGCAGCTGCAGGCTGGGGTGGAAGCCAAGAAGCTCAAATCCGGAGCTTTGAGAACAGTGAGAGGAGGTGGCGTCTACCAACAGTTAGGCTCAAGCCTGGGGAAGACAGGGTGCACGGCCATTTTACAAGCTGCTTCAGTCACGGTTTGCCTCCCAAATCCCTCGCCATTCAAAGACAAAGATCAGATATATTAATTTAAAACAAAGAACTAGAGTAATGCTAATGTTTATCCTGTGGTATTTAAAAATAGAAAAAAATTAGTAAAAAACCAACTGTTGTACTTAATTTTACTACATAATTACATATTGGTTACAATGTAATTAATACATTGTTATTGATTTAAACTATGTCATCTTGTAATATTTTGTTTTTATTATATGGGAGAGGAGAAAACCTAGTCATAAATATGTGCCATGGGATGTGGGGGTGGGAGAACATTAGAAAATTTCTCACTAACTCCTCTAACTGCTGCCTCGCAAACGCCTCCACACACAGCTCTTGACCTCCTCGTGGGTCAGCACAGTGCAGAGGGACTCCCACCCAGAGCAACTCATCCCATTTTTAGGTAGTGATGGGTTACACGTCCCTCTGCACTCATTAGTAGTAATATGTAGGCATTAGAAAGCTCTGCCATATTGATTCTTTTCAAAACGGTGAAACTATTTCTCAAAGCATTCTGTCAGCCTGACATATAGGCAGATAGAGTTTGGGCTAAAAAAGGCAAATGGGACAGGAAATGGAATGTGAAATGCTCTAAATCCATAAAACTGAAAACATACAGAACACACAGCACTTTCAGCCATGAAGGCGGGGGGCTTGGACATGCTGTGAGTGCATTAGAGGAAAGGAGATCATTAAGTATTTATTCAAATACTAAGGTAGCTTTGGTTTTGTTTTTTGAGGCAGGGTCTCACTATACAGGCCTGGAGAAAGTAGGTTAAATCTTAAAATTAATCTTGTAGTGTACATTATAAGTTTACCTATATAAAAGCAGCTCAGAAATTAAGGTAGCATTTTTCAGCAAAATTCTTTTATATTTCATCATTTTCTTAAAGAATAGCCAGTGCAATCTGCCAACACAGAAGACAGTTATAACCACCTGCTTTCGGGTGGTTGTGAGACAGGTCTGCGCAGCTCAGGCTGGCTTGCACTTGGGCGCCTCCTGCCTCAGTCTCTTGAGTGTACCAGGCTATCACCACCATTTACTGACGAGCTCCGTGTTTGAGGCACACTGAGCCCTTCACATACCCGTCTGCTGCTCCTCATGACACTCTTATGAAGAAGGTGCCATTTCTGTCCATTTTACCTGAGAGGAGGTGAGCCTTAGGTGACTTGCCTAAAATCATGTGTCTAGTAAGTTGTCACACTGACATTGACCCAGGGAACATGACTTCAAAATTCATGATTTTTTTTTTTTTTTTTTTTTTTTTTTTGCGACAGGGTTTCTCTGTGTGGCCTTGGCTGTCTTGGACTCTCTTTGTAGACCAGCGTGGCCTTGAACTCACAGTGATCTGCCTGCCTCTGACTTCCTGTGTGCTGGGATTACAGGTGTGCATTGCCATGCCCGGCTCAAAATTAATGATTTTAGCCTCTACAACAGGATTTCTTTTACATAAGAACACAATTTTGTTAAAGTTTCCCCCCTATTTTCTTTTGAGGGCATATAGATTCTAATTCTTAAAGAGAAAAATAAAAGTGAGTGACTACGCCAGCGTGTCTCTGTAAGCTTGCCTGGGCCTACAGGTACAAGCAATGTAGGAGGAAAGCCTTGAACGAGTGTGGTCCTCAGACACCCTGCCTAACAGCCTGCAGGAACAGGGCGTTGGAAGTTCGAGAAAACAGGACAATGCGATATTAGCGAATCTCTTATTCACAGCTGTGCAGCCAGCTCCACTCTCCACACTCCCTCCTCTCCACGCAAGCCCAAAGGACAGGAAAAGCACTGACCATCAGGGAGGCGCCATAATAATGTGCAACAAACCGAAGCGTCTTGCATATCACCTTTCTCTTCTCAGGATCAAAATCCTGTAGAAGAAAATTATTGAAAGAAAAAAATAAGCCGAGGGATCTCAACAGCTCACTCAGGGAGAGGCGCATTATTTGTTTTTAAGCCCCAACCCTGAGGAGTCGGGCTGGGTCTCCACGTTCCTGCCTACGGAGACTGAGCAAGGGCTGCAGCCTTCTACTGCCACGGCTATCAGATCAGTTTAAATGCTTGGCTTAAGAGAATCCAGATATAAGCACATATTTCATCTTGCGAAATACCCTAAGGATTCTCTGACAAGCCAAGATAAGAAGAAACTAATTTCCTGCTTTCTTCAATTTAAAGTTGGGAAGTAAATCTTATCCCTCGGCGCTGAAGATTTGTTTTCTAAGTCTCCTGCGTGGTCCCCGTTCTAACCACTGGACTCTTCTTTACCTTCTTAGGATGTTCTTAATGTATCCCCCTTTCTAAAATCCTTAAGATGGGTGCTTCTGAGCCTGTCTCGTTCAGAGTGATTGTTCTTATTTCATCAGTTTTATTCCTCCCCACAAAGCATACCCAATGAAATGGAAGCACATACCTGAAAAATATCATATTTACTTCCAATTATGACCAGAGGTATCGGAAATGGGTCAATTAATTCACGATCCTGTTAATGCATAAATATATTTGATTTTAGCTGTGTATTGCTATACCCTCAGGAATTTTTAAAAAAAAAACATCATTTTTCATCTCTTCATAGATGTTGACCATATTTACTGTCATAGCTTGTTAAAATAATAACTTTCACCTCATGCTGTTTTTTAGTGTAAAGCCAGAAACAGCAATTCTCAAAATACCACAGTGTTCATTTGTTTCCTTGTTCTATTGTTCCGTTTTCTTTTTCTTTCACTCTTTCTTTACTCTTTTATTTTTGGTCATCATTTTTGTTTTTCGGGACGAGATTTCTCTTGTGGTCTGGCTGTCCTGGAACTCATTCTGTAGACCAGGTTGTCCTGAAACTCAGAGATCCACCTGCCTCTGTTTTCAAAGTACTGGGATCAAAGGCCTGTGCCATCACAGTTCAGCTACTATTCTGTTTTCCTGCACAGTACATTGTATTTGTGGGGTTTCTAATTTATGTTAATTACTTACAGCTTGGCTTTGTTTTGCTCTGAGTCTATGTAAGACACATGCACACAAACTAACCATGGACATCCATCTAGTTTTCTACATCATGACATTCATTCCAAACTGTGTTTAAATAATTTGTGCTGCTATCACAGCAACTTTATAATTTAAATAGTTTCTAGACAATGGGAAGAGCCTGATGACATGTGACAGACACTAATGAATGGAGAACACAGTGTGGGGAAGACTGTTGGAACTCTGATTCTGCTTCAGTCTTTAGCTACAGTCTTTGCCAGTTCAATCTGGTTTCCATTTTCATTTTACAGAGATTATAAAATCATTATCAGAATTCTGCTCTAAATCCCACTTGTCTTGAGTGGTGAGATACACCACGATAACCACAGCAGATGCCTAACAAGAACACATCACCATCTTTCCCTTATTTTGCTCTTACTGGGGTTTTATGAAATGGCTATAACTCGCCAGTGAACAGTTTCATCTACATCACATGAGTTTTGAGTCTTGCAGAAAACTAAAGAAGCTGTGTTGCAGGGGCGGCCCTGCTCTGTATGGCGCCGACGCCAGAACGCCCCGACCAGCTCACCGGATGGTCCTTCTGCATAGCGCTCCACATCCTCTGCCTCATCTCGGAGGCGGCTTTGGAGTTCATCTTCCCCAGCTTCATTATCACTTTGTCTACGTGGCTTTTTGTGGCTTGCAGCAGATTTTCCATGGTGGGCCAAAGGTCATTAGGTTTGGAAAGATCCAAAACAAGAACAATAGAAAATGTCCTAAAGAAATAAAAACAGGTTTAAGCAAAAGAGATTGCAATAGTGATTGCTCTGAGATGTGGAAGTCCTGAAGTTTATCTAATAGAGTTTAAGAAAAGCCCGGCATACCATTATTCTAAGACGGGAGTGAGAGTGAGAATGTGGTTACAGCCTTCTCTACCCTGGTGTTCTTCACCGCCGGCACTCAGCATTACAACTAAGAAAATCCAGTTTAGCCAGAGACGCTGAATGATGCTGCATTTACACCTAATTTTACCTGGTGCTCCAAAGAAGAGGAGAAAAACTCTCGATGCCAATGTCAGCAGCAACACAATGTAAACAGAAGGACTGACAAGGCTTGCTGGGCAGTTTACTTGACCTTTGTGGGAGTCTCCTCAGGTGTGCTGGTGCCCGTTTTGTGGGTCTGAAGTTAGAAGTGCATATTTATATGACTAGTAAATGGAGAACTGCCTTTAAACCACAGGTGTCTGTCTGCCAGCCATATGCTGTCTCCTGAAAGCACAGCTCTGATTAGCAGAGGACACTGCCATCACCATACACAGTGGATGCCATTCCTACACATTAAACACAAATCTAAACTCAACAAAATTACCCGCTTATGAATGGGTTCAAATAACTCCAATGAGATATTCCGTTGGCCAAGAAGCACATGAAAAGATGCTTAAAACCTGAAGAAACAGCTCAGCAGTTAAAAGCACTGGCTACTCTTCCGGCAGATGACGATTCAATTCTAGTTCTGGGGTTCTGATACCCCTGTTGGCCTCTGTATGTACTGCATGCATGTGGTGCACAGATACACATTCATGCACACAAAACACCTATATACAATAAATTTTTAAAAATTAAAAAGTGCTCAACAATTTCTATGAAAAAAGTCTAAAGCAAACCCTAAATGAGAGCATGGTCTCACAGCCATTAGGGTATCTGTTACTGAAGAAAAAAAAAGATAGAAAGTAAGTGCTGCTGAGAATACAGAAACAGAGTTCTATGCATCGCTGGTGAGAATATGAAATGGTGTAGCAGCTATGGAAAACAGCATGGCTGTTCCTAAAATAATACAATAGAATCACCACATGATTCAGCAATTCCAGGTCTATGCCTCAAATTCTGAGGAAGCTAATTTTAATTAATTAATTAAATTGTCATTTGTTTCTGTTTTTCTTTTTAATATTTTTTATACTAATTACAGTTTATTTGTTTTGTATCCCAGCTGTAGCCCCCTCCCTCATTTCCTCCCAGTCTCACCCTCTGTCCCTCATCTTCTCTCTGCCCCTCTCCAAGTCCACTGATAGGGGAGGTCCTCTTCCCCTTCCATCTGACTCTAGCTTATCAGGTCTCATCAGGACTGCATTGTCTTCCTTTGTGGCTTGGTAATGCTGCTCCCCCCTCAGGGGGAGATGATCAAAGAGCCAGCCACTGAGTTCATGTCAGAGACAGTCCCTGTTCCTATTACTAGGGAACCTACTTGAGCTACCAGGGGCTACATCTGTGCAGGGGTTCTAGGTTATCTTCATGAATGGTCCTTGGTTGGACTATCAGTCTCAGAAAAGACTCCTGTGCCCAGATTTTTTGGGGCATGAAACCACATGATTCAGCAATTCCAGGTCTATGCCTCAAATTCTGAAGAAGCTAATTTAAAATCATTTATTTATTTATTTATTTATTATTTGTTTTTTGAGACAGGTACTTACCTTGTAGCCCTGGCTAATCTGGAATTTATTATATAGCCTAGGATGGCCTTGAACCCATCCAACATAATCTTGGCTAGGGTCCAGACTGCTGGAATCACAGGCACGAGCCACTACGCCCAGAAGGAAGCTAAGACTGAAAAACTATGTGGCTATCAATGTTCATGGCAGCACCAGTCACAAGGGAAAACAATGCACATGTCCATAGATGGGTTAATGGGTGAGCAAACTATAGTATATTCATATAACAGAGTACTACCCACTTTTACAAAGGGAGTTCAACACACGCTACAGTATGACCTTGAAGACATTATGCTAAGTTAAATAAACTACACAAAGGCAAATGCTATAGGACCTCATTATATAAGATACCACGGACTTCAACTGCCAAGAGTCTCAGGAACATCACTATAGAAGACGAAAAGGTCCTAGGAATGAACATGGTGGTTTTGGCTGTACAACAGTAGAAATGTTCTTAATGTCACAGAATGACTCATTAATAAATGATGTCAGTGGTAAATTTTATGTTATGCATATTTTACCAACTGAAAAACAAATATAGATAGATAGATAGATAGATAGATAGATAGATAGATAGACAGACAGATAGATAGAGATGAATGCTTTAAAAAATGGTCACAGTAAGTACACAGATATCTAATCATGACCAATAATTTTTCTTTTTTGAGACAGGGTTTGTTTGTGTAGACCTGGAAGTCCTGGAACTAGCTCTGTGGATCAGGCTGTCCTGGAACTGACAGAGATCTGCCTGCCTCTGCTTTCTGAGTGCTAGGATTGCAGTTGTGAGCTATCAGGCCCAGCTCAGAGCCAACATGCTCATTCAACAGGCAAATATTTTTCCAGGAGACAAAATGATGCTATTTAGTTATGTAGTTATTTTGTGAGGGTCAGTCAAACAAGCTATTTTGGATAATTCATATAAAACAGTATCTAAATTCTGTGCCTGTGGTCTCATTTAGAATCATTCAGATACTAATTATCAAGTGTATTTGTAAAATTCCTGTCCAGCCAGTCATTTCCATATCACCTCCTGTTTATAAATAGTCCGTGTCGCTGTAGAATCACATACTGACTATGCACTAGTAAAGAAACTAAATTTACTCTTAGAGCTTTAGTGAATTATACTTTGTTTATAGTTATATTTTTGTTTTTTAAAAGACCAGTGCAATCTTTTTACTGTGGTAAATAATATAACATAAAAGTCATTTTTAACACTAAAAATAGGCAAAAGAAATGGATTACCCAACTTTCTGTTTCTAGTACTTGTGTTGCTTTGTACCTTCTTTATGGCAAATGTTAACTAAGAAAACAGATTAAAAGTTCTTACAGTGGGAACTCCCCATAGGCAATGTTCTACGTGAATTAGTCAAAGTCTGCAGAAACACTCTGTTCTATGAACCTTTATGTGAAAGGTAAACAGTATCTAATCACACATGGTCGTATAGCAGTTTTTCAGTTTGCTGACCAATACAAGGAAATCATGTGCCAGACTAATTCCAGTTTAATAACTCTCTGTGACTAGCAGCTACTTTAAGTGAAATCCTCACCAACCCTCCGGACTACCCAGTAGCCCTGGGCCTAATTCCTTACAGCCAGATCTTTTCCCTCTCCCAAGGCTGGCTTCTAGCTGCCCGAGAGCCCAGGGACAGGAAGTCTCAGACCCCACACAGTGAGGTATTAAAGAAATATGGAAAGTTTTCATTTCCTGTAAACCCTAACTTTCCAGGAGCCTGTCTGGCCGGGTCTCAGATTAAGTGAAGAAGAGTGAGTCACGTACAAGTGAGGGCTAGAACAGGAGCCAAGATCCAGCACAGGCAAAGTGGGTCTTTGTTTACAGCCTCCCTGTGTCTGGCCATACAAGGTGGCAGGGTTCCTAAGCAACTCCCCACTCTCATCATCCCCACTCTCACCACCTCTTCTAGTCAACTACAAACACACTAGTTGCCAGGAAGCTTCCTCCTACAGAAGATGGGAACAGACACAAACCCCACAGCCAGACAATGTGCAGAGAGTGAGAGGCCCTGGAACACTCAGCACTAAACCCACTGTCTCTAGCAAATACCTCCTGTTAGGGTTCAGGAAACCCTGTAGAAGAAGAGGCAAGAAGAATGTAAGAGCCAGAGGGGTTAGAGGACACCAAGAAAACAGGGCCCTCTAAATCAAAAGGTTCTGTGCACTATAAACTCACAGAGACTGAGGCAGCAAGCACACAGCCTGCACAGGTCTGCACTAGATTGGGTCCTAGAGCTAAAAGGAGAAGTGAAAATCACGGCCCCATTCCTAACCCAAAAGCTATCTCCAATTGATAACCTTGCAAATGAAAAGTTAGTTTTCTCCAATGGATTCTGTGATGGCTGTTCTTAGTTGTCTACTTGACTACAAGCGGAATTAACTAAAACCCAAGTGGCTGGATATGCTTGTGAGAGATTTTTTTTTACCTTAATTAAACCAATTGAAGTGGGAAGACACACTTTTAATCCAGATCTTTGAGGTGGGAAGATCATCCTTTAATCTGGACCACACTATCTGCTGGCAGCCTAATATAAAGGCATGAAAGAAGGAAGCTGGCTCTCTACCTGCTTGCTTATTCTCGATAGCAAGCCCATTCCTTCACTGGCATTACAGCCTACCTTCTGTGGAATTCTAGCATATACTAAAGACCAGCTGAGATATCCATTTTAATGCTCCCCACTACAAAGTCTGATAGGAAGCCTGCTGACAAAAAAAAAAAAAAAAAAAAAAGAATTTAATTTAGGGAGCCCCAGCCTATCCTGGATACCTTACAACAGACTTTAACTCCATCTCTGGTGGATCTGATGCCCTCTTCTGGTATCCACAGGCACAGACAGTCACATGTGTATGCATGCACACACACACAAATACTACACATGCTTTTTATTCCAGTACTCAGAAGGCAGAATCAGGTGGATCTCTGTGAGTTTGAAGTTACCTTGGGCTACACTGCCAGACCCTGTCTCAAAACAAAAGAAAATAAACTGTATTTTACTAAAAGAAAGAAATTGCTGCATACATAAAGCCAGTCTGGCCTGTATCCAACTATCTCTGGGAAAGCAACTGTCTTGTAAAGAAGACAAAATTCCATTCCTAAGGCTCTTCCCTGAAATGTAACAGATAATTGCTAGGTTCAGGCAACAGCAATGGTTCATGTTAATTTCTGACAAGAAATATACTTCAAATTTAATTTGTCTTTTTTTTCTTGGCTAAGCCCAGTTCCCAGCAACACGGAAGTATCCCAAGTTTCCACGTGTGATATGGCCAACGCACTGGAGTGTCTGTGGGTTTGGAGTTTGTCCCTTGGTTTTGGTTCTCAAAAGTCAGTGGAGAGTCCTTTCCTCTCCAACAGTCATCCTCTGGGTGACACCAATAATAGTGTGTTAAATTCCACAGGAGACTGACACCAGCCAGCTGAAGAAAAACCCCAGGGCGGAATTAACTCACACCAAGATAGGGTGGAAAGAATTAATGTTTTCATACTTTTGAAAACAAATTCATCACCCAAATATTATTTGACATTTTCCCCCACTTAGCAGGCTTGTAAAATACGTTGCTGGCAGGACTGCACCTCACTCAGCTCTGGCCAGAACCTTGGTCTTTCAAGATTTCTCTGGAAGCACTGCAGCCCAGGCTCATGGCAAGAAAGAGCTGCAAACCTGCAGACAGTATAAGACTGTCGACTCTTAAAGGCCTGTGCACGGGCATTACACAGACATACCTGTCTGCTCTCACTCACCTGAGGGCAGCACTGGTGATAGGTGGGCATTGCACAGACACCCGGTGAACTCCCACTCACCTTAAGGTATCACTGGTGATGGGTATGCTGATTAAGTCCAAAAGAGAGGTTCCTCCGCCCAGTTCCCAAAAGTGAGCAATGTCCTTTGGCTGAAAGAAAATAGAGGGCTTAAAAATATTCATTTTAAACTTTTAAGTGTTTTGTTATACTTCATTAACACGTATCAGTAACAATTATAGATATAAATATTCACCCTCAACTAACCCTTTCTTCTTACTTGAAACTTTTCCTTCCTATTCCATGCTTTGGAAGGCACCAAATGCATTCCAAAGAACAAAGGAACCATCAGCAATATATATCTTCCTGTGAAGATAAATACCAACTCTGTTTATACCTTAATAAGGCAAACACAGTGCTCCCAACTTTATACATATTAATAGCATATGAAATATATGCTTAAATAAAATTTAAGTATAATTATTCAGTTTAACACATCTGGGATTCCATCTGGATATGAAACAGTGAAATAGAACATTCTGATTTAGAAGTACAGACACTCTCAAGCAAGTGACTTGCACAGCTAAGACCTGAGGAATGGGGCCGCAGTAGGTGACAGTGTAGGCCTGAGCAAAAGCATTCCCCAGGGGACGCCGGCAGGCTGCCACTGTAACGACAGGTGTGGGCAGGGGGTGGGGCAACGCTAGCCATGCTTCTCAGTTTGGAGGACTCTTCACTAGGAGGGGGCTGACAGGGCAGGTAGCCATACAGTTTGGCTATAGTATGGCCGCAAACGGCTTACTGGGGCAACCTCCCAGTTGTCAACAGGCATTCTGATGCTCAAGCACCTTTGCCCTGTACAAGGAGCTGACAGTGTTTCCGGCTAGAGCTCATAACGAAACCCTTAATCTGACAGAGATGTGAAGCTTTGAAATGAATGCAGATAACGCCCTGCTACAGTCCAAAGTTTAGAGGAACAACATGTAACAGATAGTCACATGGGTTTTCAGGTACCTGCTACCATGAACTAGGACTGGTGGATGGCAGTTAAGCACATTTTAGATGAGTATACATTATTTTCCTTTTCTTGGGACAAATTCTCATAATTGCTAAATCGTTTTACTGTTGTTGATACTTGAATCACTAATGTTTGTGGAATGAGTCATTTTTCACTGGAAAAATCTCTCTGGCTTCACAATGTGACAAAGAAAGATTTTACAGCCCTTCTCAGAAGTAAAGTTTGTGAGAGCTGTTTCAAGTTTCCCATAAAAAGGATAGCTCACATCATAAACCATGTGATGTGAAAACAAAAACGAGATTATCCTACATCTCAGTCTATCATCTTTTCTTTTCTTTTTACTTTCTCAGTTTTAATAACCAGCTTTCATTGGTAGATCCAGAAAGCAAGAGCAGGCAGCTTCAATTCTTAACACACTTACATCTATCTATAACTCTCTCTATCTCTGTGTGTGTGTGTGTGTGTGCGTGCGTGTGTGTGTGTGTGTGTGTGTGTGTGTATTTCGTGAGACAAGGTCTCACTGGACAGTCCTAGCTGGCCTGGAACTTGTTACACAGACTAGGCTGACTTTGAACTTACAAAGATCCACCTGCTTCCACCTCCCGAGTGCTGGGATCGTAGGGTATGTTCTACATGCTTGGCCATATAATTCTTTAATACATTGTCTAATGACCAAAAACTTGAGCTAGATCAGTCTACACAAATGTGTTTTTGTATCAAAGTAGTAGGGCCTTCTGTTCTACACATCTAAGTTTAAGAAATGATACCTTTTGCTATGAGACAGTCAAAAGCTATTCCACTTAGGAATTTCTGTCCCCACACCATATACTACTCTAAGGTCTTCCTCTATGCTGAACAGTTTCTAACATCCTTTGAACAGACACTAAAGCAGGTGGAATAAGGCCTGTGGTCTTCAACTTTTAGATGCTACCAACTTTTAGATGTTTTTTTTTTTCCCTTCCAAAATGCTAGAGATTGAACTCAGGGACTAAGAATGCCAGACCAATCTTTTAACACTGAGTTACAACCCTAACTCTCTATTTAAAAAAACAAACAAACACACTAATAGTTTAGATTTTGAACAGTATATTTTCACAAATATTTCATAGTTCAAGCCCCATATTTTTAGAAGATTTTTAGAGAAATTAAAAGTAACTCATAAAATGGATATGGTCATTTACACTTGTAATCAGCCCTCTGGAGTTCTGAGGCAGGAGGATTGTGAGCTCAAGGCCATTCTGGAGTACATAGAGAGCTCTAGACCAACATCGGTATATAAGAAGAGCCTGTCCTGGAAATAAAACAGAAATACCAAGGGCTGGAGAGAGGGCTCAGTGGTTAAAAGTACTTGTTGCTCGTGCAGAGGACCTTGGTTCTGTTCTCATGTCAGGCAACTCTCAACTACCTATAACTCCAGCTCTAAGCAATCCAATGCTCTCCTCTGGTCTCTGTGGGCACCTGCCTCATGTGCAAATACCTACACAAAGATACACATGTAAACACATAATTAAAAATAAAAACTCTTTTGAGTTATCATACAGTGTGTGTGTGTGTGTGTGTGTGTGTGTGTGTGTGTGTGTGTGTGTGTATGTGTGTTGGGAGGGGGCACAAATTCCATTAAAGATTATATGTTACCAAGTAAAATCTCCAATAGCAGGAATGGGCTACAGTCCAGGTTGAGTTGCTGACCAAAGGGGTCTCATAGACTAAGCCCACACCACTCAAACACCACAGGCTACCGCCCATGCTGTTGTGTACCCACCACAACTGGGTGGTACGGCCCCTTGCTGACAACACCACTTACTGATGTCGCTGAACGTGGAGAAGTTGAGCTCACACTCAACTAGAAGCTTCGTGTCTACTGATTAGCATTCATGGTGTTGGAGGTACTTTGCGCACTTTCAGAGAAGAATATTAATCATCAATATCACCCAACTACAGACCTTACAACAGCGACCTGCCTGTAAGATATACTGGTGCAGAACTGGCACAAAGGTGATGGGAGCAACCAATCACATTTCGATTGCATTTTGATTGGATTTAAGGCTTACACCGTAAGAGAGAACCTACTGACAATGAACATGAGGACATTAACATGACAGTAGAGAGGTCATAGGTCTAAGAGAAAACCTACTGCTATTATTTTTCTAAATGAACATAGCAATAAAATGACTCCTAATGACAATTGCTTTACCCACATATTAGTGCTGAACAGGAATTTTTTATTCAGCAACATGGCTTCTCTGGCTAGGGATCATATCCAAAGACCTTCTAGTCTATATAATCTGGCCAGAATGCAGACATACCCTGGATTACTGTATGATCCGGCTGGAATACAGATATGCCCTTAGTACACACCTTCAGTCTCTAACAGTGAAGGTAAGTTTAGTTTGTAAAACAAAGCAGCCATGTTTGGAAGTGATGTCTAATTGAGGGGCAGACAGAGTGATGAATCAGAAAAAGATCTGACAGAATGAGTCAGAGATAGGATATACCCAACCCACAGGAGAACAATACAGAAAAGAAAGGCAACTTAAGAGCAGTGAGAGAGAAAGGTGTGGTGGTGGCACAGTGTATGTGCGTATGTATGGCAGCTTTACCCAGATGGTTTACAGAGATAAGTAGCAGAGAGAACAAACTAGACACAGGTAAAGACAGAACAAGCCAGAGAATGAGGAGTCAGAAGATTAGAACATACTGCCAAAGTTAATATGAGGCCAAGTAGAGCAATTCAATCAGAAGCTGAGAGAAGCTGGATTGAATCAGTCAGCTTAGAAGATTAGATTATATGGAGGCTAGAAGCTTCCAGGCCAAGGCCTAGGGATAGTTAGAACAGAGAAAGAAATGTTCTGGGCTCAGCTCTAGCTGGGTATTTGCACAGCTTGGGTGCGGCTCCCATCTCATTCCATCATCTGAGGGAATAAAAACATTTACACAGTGCACTGCTCAAACTCATCAGAGAAGTTTCTTTTTGTAATAGATGGTAATTAACACAGAGACTACTATGTTATGATAGGTACCTGCTAGACAATGTGTAGGCAGTGAGAGACCTTGGGGCACCTAGCCCTAAGTGGATGTCTTTATCACACCTCTCCTGTCAAGGCTCAGGAAATCTATTGGAAGAGGAGGTGGAAGGATTGTTAAGAGCCAGAAGTGGTGGAAGACCCCAAGGAAACAACATCTCCCAGACACCACAGGGTGGATAAACATATGAACTCACAGACTGTGACAGAATGTAGAAGGGCTGCATAAGTTCAAGCTAGTAAAGTCCCAGCATGAAAAAGGGGAAGGGAGACACCGAGTTCCTCACCAAGAAAATGTTTGCAATTGATACCTGCTGGGAAAAGAAAATCAATTTTCTCCAGTGGATGCCACTGGGTATATCGACCACACGTGAAGGCAGGCCTCCTGTTCAGGAGGAACTAACTGACAAAAACAAAATGATTCCATGCTTTTCTGTGTGCTGGGTTTTTGTTTGTTTGGGTTTTTGGTAATGGTTTGTCGGTTTTTTGTCTTCTTTGTTTCATTTTGTTTGCTTTAGTTTTTCCCCCTCTTTTGAGAGAAAGAATATGAAGCTGGGTGAGTAGGGAGGTGGAAAGAACTAGAAGGACTTGGAGAAGGGGGAAAGTTTGCTTAAAATATATTGTATGATAAATCTAAAAATAATTTTAAAATTACAGAAATGGAGGCAGTAATAATGCTATTTTCATTTGAAAAATAAAAAGTCCCATCTACATAATTACTGTAAGTAGACAAAGAACCCTGTACAATCAAATTTCAAAGAAATCCTATTTCATGCTGGGTCTGCTGTCATATGTCTGTAACTGCAATAATACTTAGAAAGCTGAGATAGGAGAATTGCAAATTTGGGGCCATCTGGGCAACATACTGAGTTTCAGGACAGTCTGTGATACATAATTAAAAACAAAACAAAAGCCCAAAGTAAATGTATCACACACAGAATGAGGAACTCACAACATTAAACTGGCATAAGTAGGCAAAAGAACTTGCAACAATTGCAAATAAGTGTTTTTCAACACTTTAAGATACAATAGAAAAAACTAAAATATTTTCCCGGGTTAGATGGGCTTCCCTTGAGCTTAACTGCATGTGAAGTTTAAAGCACATCCCTATGACATGCCCCACTGGCATGTTTACTGTCTGCAGATAACGTAAAGCCATGTCAGCGTCATGGCCTCCCATCTAAGGCATGAGAAGTGACTCACTGTGTTGTGTCCCTTTGTTCTTCTTCCATACATATACTCCAAAGCTAAAGTTGGCTTTGCTGGCTCATCCCTGTGCAACAAGGGCAGACGTTAGTTTTATGATGGTGGTAGTATTGGTTTTTTGTTTGTTTGTTTGTTTGTTTGTTTTCTATAATCCTACCCATTTTCACTTCCTCTTCAACACTTTATTAACAAAGAGGCTACCTTGAATACTAGCACTGAGGTAAAGTTGAGTGACATTATTCCACAAGACACAAATAAGCCCTTCAAAACTATCTTAGAGGTTTCAGTGGCAGGTGCAGGAGTGAATAATGGCACCTGACTGGTATGAAAGCCTTGCAGGGGCCTGGGCAGAAGCAGTGAGCTGGGAGCCTCAGGGGCCATGCTGGGCCACCAGCTCTCGGAATTCTCGCCACGTGAGAATTCTCGTCACTTGTTTTTTCAGCCTCAGTGTGGTTGCTGAGAACCTAATGCCTGTCAACTGTAAGGACATCAGTGGGAGACTTTTATGTAGTTCCTTATTTCAAATTTCAGCCAAATATGAGAGTTGAAAAAAAAAAAACATGAACAAGGGCATAAAACCAACAAGTGATTTGGAAAATAATTAAATTATTTAATAAATTACTTATGCAAGTTTAAACTGTTTGGCAGCCAATTTTATGGTATATATTCATTTTTAATGTTGTAAAATATATGAAATAAAATTGACAGGTATACCATTTTACATGTGTAGTTTGTAATATGAAGTATATTCTTTCACACTGCTGTGCAAGCAATCCTCATGACTTCTCAAATGCAAAATCGCAACTCCAAATGCATTAAAAGACTTCCACGTCCCTTTTGACAGTCCCTGGCTACCACCCTTCTCACTTCTGCTTCTGTGAGACTCTGAGTGCTTCATACAAAAGAAACCAGACAGTTTTGTTTATTTTGTGACTGGCTCATTTCACTTAGCATAGTGTCCTTAAAGCTCACCTCCATTGCAGAATATAATGGAATTTCTTTTTTTTAACTTAAAGATTTATTTATTTTATGTAGGTGAGTATGGGCCTGCATGCATGTCTATGTACAATGTACATGCCAGGTGCCTGTGGAGGCCAGAAGGAGTTGGATCCCTTGGAGTTACAGATAGTTGTGAGCTACAATGTAGGTGCTGGGAATCAACCCTGGGCCCTCCTCAAAAGGCAGCAAGTGCTGTCCAATGCTGGATTTCTTTCCTTTTGGGGGGCTGAATAATATTAGCTTTAGTTTAAACCTGGAGAACAAAAACTACAAGTTTAAAATTTCTGATTTGCATATTTCTATTTGTTGAATATTTTGAACTTGGCAGATATTCTTGATATATACACCAAGGATTATTTAGTTATATGTTCCTGAAACTGTAACTTTTTTAGGAAGCAAGACACTTCTCCTAAAACAAAATGTCTAGCATGGATAACCCACAACTTAAAAAAATCATCCTATTTCTGGGTACACTGCAAGAAAGCCAAAATGAATCATTCACTGTCACAGTTCGTAGCACTTCATCTTACACTAATGTCACACTGGGCAAGTCATTATAGAAAACACCTATTACAATCATTGCTCTATAGGCATAGATTAGACAGAATAAAAAAATACCAAAGCATCTCAAAAGAACATAAGCACCACTGGAGGCAGGGCAACTGTGGTTACTTTTCTCCTTTAAACAGGAAAATCTAGTATCAACCCAGAATCTTTCGGAGTTTTCTTATCTTTAAACGTGCTCTTAAAGGTTGTATTTAATATTGAGAATATCTTTAAAGGTTGTAACCAAGATTGAGAATTAAATATTTTGAGTCTCAAATTCTTCTTCTTCCATCTGCCTTTTGAGGTCTAACTTGCTCTCCTGTAGCTGAACCAGCGTGAATGTTGTCTAACAGAGGTTGATAACACTTACCTGTCAAGACACCTTAGAATAATAGTAGTCTTTCCCTAGAAATTAAAAAGAAAGAATAGTGCGTTAACATCACCCACATGTAAAATTTTATTAGTGATCGTAACTGTGGCCCAAAAAACAGCTTTTGAAATGATGTGGATGATAAATTACCTGGAAACTAAAAACCTTCAGAATTACCTGGAAGTTTGATAAGTGAACTTTCCCACAATATAACTTTCTATCATAATGTAACTATGCTGCTGGTTATAGAGTCCCACATAAGACGAATATTGGCAAACCACACCTCACTTTAGTGGTCACCTGACAGCTCTCTGAAACTTTCTCTTTCCTCAGCAATGCTAATTACTGGTTAGCCTGATTAGTATTCTAAAATGTTTCCATCCCAATCGATGAAGTAGAAATAAAAGCAAAAGGTAATGCACAAATAAAAGACATGCTCTAGGTGTGCTCAAACACTGTGCTTGAGCAGTGGCTTTTGATTCTAGAGGAGGCGTTCATTCCAACTTCCTTTTCAGGAGTCAAGAAGTACAGGCCCCGTCCCATGAGACTTAAGCCACATCCTCTCCAGAGACTGGTATAATAATAATAATAATAATAATAATAATAATAATAATAATAATAATAATAATAAAAGTTAATGAGTCCTTGCAAGGAAGGGATGTGAAAGGAGTGGCAGGGACAGGACCCCTGCAGGACCTCTGGGCTCCCAGGAAAAGCTTGGGAAACCCTAGGTTGCCAAAAAGACAGAATCTTTTACTACCTCTCTTTCTTCTAACATAAAAGCCTACATTTTTTAACCAAAAGATAGTAATACATCGCTCCAGAGTATCTGTGCAATCTGATCAGATCAAATAAACTATTTGTAATGGGCTAGTTATAAAACAATGTTCACCCCTAAGTATGGCTATTGCTATACAAAACTGAAACACTAAACACCTCCATGTGCCAAAAAAATTGATTAAGGCAAGCCACATAAGGAATATACAGCCATTAGGTATGGCAATGTAGGAATACAGTTACATGATAACTGTATTCATGTCAATGTTGAAATGCCTTTTCCTGCTTCCTTTTCACTCACAAGAATCTGTCTCCACTTGCACACACGTGTACATCGATGGACACAACTAGGTTAAGGGCGTTTCTAATGGACAGGTTTGCAGTTTTTTCTCCCTGTGCCTGCTACACGTCACTTCCACAGTTTTATCTTGAATCCTTTCACCACTAGGAATGGCACAACTTCCAAATCATGGCTGCAGAAACAGTCTGCAGCCACTTCTTCAGGAATCACAACAGGCTGCCCCACCTTAGCGAAGGTCTCAGAAACCTGTCCACCCCAACGTTTGTCCTCTTCGTCCTCTGCCAGGCTCTTGCTACTACCTTCACCAAACTCTCTGTCCATCCTCACGTCAGCAGTTTATCACTACAATCATCCCTTGCAAATCACTGGCGCTTAGGCTTCCTCATCAGGAAACACCCATTCTAGAGAAACTTGGCCACCCTCCCCCTTGGTCCCTGTATCCATGCAAGTGAGGGATGGGGGAAATTACAAATACCATGTTCATCAGATCAGTATCGTCTTAATCTCCACCATGAAAAGAGCAATCTAGTTCCTTCTCTCTCCTACTTCTACTGTTCTAGATCCTGAGGATACTCACTTGAGCCCAAACTGTTGCCCTTCTTTATTTTTTGCCTTTCAAGCATTAGCTTTCGCTCTCTCATAGATGCTGACATGGTCTGAATGATCATTTTCCCTAGGCTCTCATATCGGGTGCTTGGTTGCCAAGTGTATGGGAGTTTTGCCTACATGTATGTCTGTACACATGCCTGGTGCCTGAAAAGACCAGAAGAGGGCTTCTGATCTCTCAGGACTGGAGTAGCAGCCAGTTATAAGCTGTCATGCGGGTAATGGAACTCAAACTAGGTCCTCTGGAAGAATAGCTCTTAACTGTTGAGCCATCTCTCCAGCCCCAACTTTTTTCTTGTTACATGATTATTTATGTCAATAATCATGTCAATGTCAATGTCAATAAATATAATTTTTAATAATAATGAAGATAAAATGCCACGTGGAGGAACCTAGGGTCCTGGAGGTAATTCTGAGGAGATGCTGAGACACGAGGGGTAAACAGGCGCCCACTGAGCGTGTGGACTCAGTGGTTCCTGGAAGCTTCCTGTTTTCAGCGCCCTTATGTGGAAGCATGGAGCACAGAGAATAAAGAGTCAACTGAGCTCCAAATGGAAACAAGCATGATGCTACATGGGTGCTGGCATCCGGAAGCTTGCTGCACTGATCATTTGTGGACACTGTCTCTTGCAGCCCTGCCTTGCACGAAGGAATTCTGTGTGTGGCCATGACACAGCTGCTCTGGCTGTGTGGCCACATCCCAAATTTTCCATGAACTTGGTTGAATGGCCTCACAGAGAATAGGGAGCACCACCTCATCCCCCTCACATTTTCCTACACAACTAAGTCTTTGATAAACATTACTAACACAATTCAATTGTTTCTTCTTAGAGATCCCTAATAGTGAAGTCCTTGAGTCCACAGTCTCAATGCTGTTAAGATACTGACTTACTTAGATGTTGGCTCAGAAATTTAAGAGGCTCCTGGCCTTTACATGCGATCAAAGCAGAAGATCTGAATGCTTCAAATGTGAAATAAAAATATTTAAAAGTCTTCCTAAAATTTACTTCACTGTTATTAATTTTTCCAGATCAGTGATAAGCCCTTTCTAACTTATGCTAAATCAGGGTGAACACTTGATTAAAGAGTTGAAAATATGTAAATTATATCAAAGTATTACAGTAAAATTTGTTTCTGATTGCTACATTGTGAAGAACAAATATTAAAGTATTACCCCATTTTTACTGCCAATGAAAAAAACAGATTTTTCTCCAACTTCAGCTGCATCCCCTTCACTTCCATGACTTCTCCTTTTTTCCACTTCAGCTTTTGCAATTTCCCAGAGAGTTTCACTGCATAAGAAATAGAAAAACAATTGCAGGCAAATGGTGGGACCTAGAAACGATCATCCTCAGTGAGGTATTCCAAAAGCAGAAAGACACACATGGTATATACTCACTTATATAGACCTATAAGTCTATACTGAATATACTGAAATCTATACACCCAAAGAAGATAAACAAGAAAGAGGACCCGGGGTAAGAGGATCAATCCTCCCTTAGAAAGACAAATGGGATGGACATTGGATGTAGGAGAAAACAAGTAACAGGACAGGAGCCTACCACAGAGGGTCTTGAAAGACTCTACCTAGCAGTGTATCAAAGCAGATGTTAAGACTCATAATCAAACCTTTGGCAGAGTACAGGGAATCATATGAGAGAAGGGGGAGTTAGTAAGACCTGGAGAGGACAGGAGCTCCACAAGGACCAAATATATCAAGGCACAGGGGTCTTTAATGAGACTGTTTCTCCAACCAAGGACCATGTACGGATATAACCTGGAACCCCTACTCAGATATAGCCCATGGTAGCTCAGTATCCAAGTGGGTTCTCTAGTAAGGGGAACAGGGACTATTTCTGACATGAACACAATGGTGAGCTCTTCAACCCCCCTGCCCCCTGAGGGAGGAGCAGCCTTGCTAGGCCACAGAAGAGGACATTGCAGCCAGTCCTGAAGAGACCTGATAAGCTAGGGTCAGATAGAAGGGGAGGAGGTTCTCCCCTATCAGTGGACTTGGAAAGGGGCTGGGAGGAGATGAGGGAGGGAGGGTGAGATTGGGAGGGAATGACGAAGGGGGCTATGGCTGAGATGCAAAGTAAATAACCTGTGATTAATATAAAAATTTAAAAATAAATAAATAAATAATTAAAAAAGAATAGTCAACAGAAATTTTTTAAATTAAAAAAAAAAAAAGAAATAGAAAAACAAAAACCAGAGAAGCAAAAGGAATCTTTAGAAATAGTCATTTCCAGCAGAGAAATTTTATTCCTGTAAGATTTATAAAAACACTACTTCCTGGGAGTTAATAACTAGGTAAACACTGAAGGGTTTTTCTAACACCCTTTACCTGGAAATGGCTCGTGAGGAATACTGAAATTGATAGGGAGAGTGCCCTAGCTTCCATTCTACTGCGGTGATTAAACACCCTGCCCGGATTGGAGAGATGGCTCGGAGGTTAAGAGCACTGTCTGCTCTTTCTGAGTTCAATCCCCAGCAACCACATGGTGGCTCATAACCATCTATAATGGGATCTGGTGCCCTCTGCTGGCCTGCAGGCAGAACACTGTACACATAATAAATAAATACATCTTTAAAAACAGCCACAACAAACTCCCTGACAAAGCATGGATTCCTTTGCCTCACGATTCCAGGGGTCACGGATAGCAGGTAGTTAAGTCCGGAGCTTGCCTCAGCTAGTCACTTCCGCAGCCAAGAGCAGAGAGCATGAATGCATGCCTCTTTGCCTTCGTGGGTAGACTCGCCATCCTGCAAGCTCTAGGGATCCATCTGTCTTCGGCCCCTCCCGCTACCTCCCGAGCTCACAGACACAAGCCCCACACCTTGCATTCGCTGACTCAGGTCCTCATGCTTGAACACAAGCGCTTTATCCACTGAGCCATTTTTCCCAGTCCTAAGCAAGTATTTGTTGAACAATTAGTTATCATTCAATCTCTGCTAATCCTCACGCTCAAATCTATTTCTTCATTTCTGAAATGTCAACTTTTTTTAAAAAATACTATCTGCTTTGGGGGCCCATTGTTACTGTTACAACGTTACTATTCATTTAGTCTTAGGCCCTGGCCTTTTAAACTACAAAGGCTATTGATGGCCAATAGTTATTACCAGACAGACAAGGACCAGAAACAGGGCTGATGATAAAGTGAAAGCGGTACTGTGCCTGCCTAGCATGCATGAGGCTCTGAGTTCAATTCCCAGAACCCCCAAACAAAACGAGAATATTTTAAAATGTCAGAACAGGAAAACAAAGTCAAAACAGAAATCCCAAAATGCTGCGTTTAATGATTTTATTTCATAGGCCAGCCTGCAGGAATTCTGTGTCCAAATGCCTGCTCTGTTTCCACACCGTCCCTCCAAAGTGCGATTATCTGTTTTTTTAAGTACCCAGTAAAAGGAAAGGGTTTTTCAATCAGTTATGGCTCCCACCAAACAAACACCAAAAACAAAACAAAACCACACACACCCCAAAAAAACCCAACCCTGTACCTAGAGCCTCACTGCAGTAACCAACGAGAACGCTATGCAAAGCCGACTCATTTCTAATCCTGAACTTCATAAACTCTACTGAAGTTAATGCCTCTGATCCAGAAGGGGGCAAAAGATCTATACTGCTCTTTGGTGGACCTCTGGCCCTCTCCCCGACATCTTTGTAGGTACTTTAAAGGGACCTTGAAGAGATGAAGAGTTCAAATGTATTCCACAAGCCATCAGTACCCCCAAGCCTCCGCCTTCAAGGTGATGTTGCGCTTTCCTCCTCTGAAGTAAAGAAGCCCGGGGCCACGAGGCAGGGAGCCCCGGGAGGAGGCTCTGAGGTCTGGCTCACCACCGCCTGTGGCCCGGCCTGCAATAGCATGTGACACTCGAGAAACTTGCAGTCAGAGAACGGGTGTAGTTGATGATCTTTCCTAATCGCTAACTTTTCTACTTGTTTGTGACAGAATCTTTTCGCTACAGGCCTGGGGAGTAAGGGGGCGGGATGTGGATGGGAGGTATAGGCGGGGGCTGTCTCACCCACAGCGCCAGGGCTGGGTGCGTCCGCCCCACCTGTCCGTGCCCCTTCCATGTGCAGATGCGAAAGAGAGGAGGTCGTGAGCAACCCGTCGGCAGGTTTAGCAATACCTGGGCATGGTGGCTACGCCGCCCCAGATGTCCTGGGCTCTGCGAGAGGACCGGCACTGACCCAGTCAGGCCGCAAGCTCCAGGCTGGGCCAGGGAAAGCGGGCTCCTCGGTTGCCATGGCAACGACGTCAGGGCCGGGGCTGCGTGCCAAAGAGAGGCCTTATGGGAAGTGTAGTTCTTGACTTTCTGTTCCCGTCTCACTTTTCAGCGTCAACCACTAGGATGTCAGAGGACATGGTGAGCATCTGCCTGCATCTGGAATCGAAAGTTTGGGGCTTGAACGTTTTTTAGTTTTTATTTCTACTGAGTGCCGACTGTATGCCAGGGGTCTCTGCTTTCTCGTTTTTTAACTTTCCCCCGTCTATTGCCATGATTTGGGAATAGAAGCTGAAATATTGTTGTGCTGTAACCTAATAATGTATTGGAAGAAAAAGAAATTCAACTATTAAATCAAAACAAGGCGTGCAAACCCCTCCCCTCCAGTTTTCTATGAATCACACCCTCAGCCCTGATGGTGGATTGGAATGAAGAGACATAAGGAGCATATTCCTGGAAATGAAGCGGAATGTTGGTAAAAGAAAAGAGCATTCATGTTGGGAACAGAATCTCCCCGACAGCGTGGTGTATTGTGGAGCTACAGTTGCACCTTTAGAAGGGCTAAGAATGAAAGTGATGTTCATCAGAGGAAGGATGGTTTCAAAGGAGGCTGCCATATCGCTCACAGAACTGGCCTTTGTACTCTGGTGCTAGCCAGCTGAGCTTGTGAATACTGTTCTGTAATGACGTGGGCTCCTGGGTTGGAATGCCTGCGTGCCTTTTAGGAGGTCACATAGATATTGATAACCATAGTGCGATAACCACTGTGCCATCTGGTATGGTTTAGTAAGTACCTTATTGAGTCGCACTGCTTGCCAGGCACAGCACCACTAGCACATCAAGACTGTAATTGTTTTGGATAACCAGGATAGATGGTTGGAGGAGGGAGTCTGGTGAAAAGGAAGATAGAGAGCAGCGATTCTCAAGTTGTGGGTTGCAACCCCTTCAGGAGGTCAACTAGCCCTTTCACACCAGATATTTACATGATTCATAACAGTAGCAAAGTCACACTTACGAAGTGGCAACACAAATAATTTTATGGTTGGGGTCACCACAACATGAGATTATTATTATTAAAGGGTCACAGCATTAGGAAGGTTGAGAACCGCTAATCTGTCTGGACCCAGATTACCAGCATTAACTCAAGGTGCATTCAGCTCATCTGACTGAGTAGCTGAGTTCTCTTTTCCTCCTTTGTCTTGAGGTTTCGGATCTGAGCAAGGAAAGTGACCTTCCTGTACAGATGAAAAGTGTGCTTAAGCGCATGGCTGTATCAGTTGCTTTTCAGTTAGGATAAAACACCACGACAGAGGCAACTTACAGAAGAGCAAGTTTATTTTGGCTTACAGTTCCAGAGGGTTAACAGTCCATAATGGCGGGAAAGGCATGGCAACAAGCAGCAGGAGTGGCGGAAGGAAAGAAAACGAAGAGCTCATTCCTTACACTGAAAGCACAAAGGAGAGCAAGCTAACTAAAAGTGGTCGGAGCCTTAGACTCTCCAAGCCTTCTCTCAGTGGTATTCTTCTTTCACCAAGGCTGTCTCTCCAAACAGTGCTACATGCCTACTGGGCACCCAGTGTTCAAATGCCCGAGACTGTGGAGGGCATCTCATTTAAAGCACCATAATAATTTTTTACCAACTTGACAAAAATGATCTGTAAAGGGAGACCTTACTTGAAGGATTGTCTTCATCAGATTAACCCATAGGCAAGCCCGTGGGGGCATTTTCTTGGTTAATGATTGATGTGAAATGGCCCAGCGGCCCAGCTCACTATGGGCAGTGCCAGTAAGCAACACACCTCCTTGGTGTCTGCTTCAGTTCCTGCCTCCAGGTTCCTTCCCTACTTCAGTTCCTACCCTGACTTCTTCAATGGCGGACAGTGATTGGAACATATAATCTAAATAAACTCTCTCCTTTCCAGATTGCTTTTGGTCATGGTCTTTATCACAGTGACAGAAAGCAAAGGGGGACAAAAAGATTTAAGCCCCCTTCTGTATCACTCTTCAAGGCGGCTCAGGACTTCAAAGTTGGTGGTAACATAAGAGCGAGCTTTATATTGCCTGCTGCATGGCACGGCAGCAGCTTGGAAGGCTACAGGCACAGGGCGGAACTGTTTGGAGAGTTATGCTTTATCTGGGAAGACAGAAAGCACCTGTGGAGCTGAGACAAGACGCACACATCGGGCAAGAGGCTGGACTGCTGGGAAGGGTCTTGCAGTCTGGGTTCGCCTGTACTGAGAAGCCACGTATGATTTTAAAATGGGCACACATTGACTGGTCCTGTGTTTCCATGATATAATGTTTTGCAGCTGTGTGGAGGATTTTTTTTGGAACCTAGAAGACCATATGGACACTATTAGCAACAGTCAGGAGTGACAGTTTTTATACTTCTCCCTTTGTTTTCAATGTCATATAAATTTCTTGCAGGGAAAAAATGGTATACAGGGAGAGAGACAGAGCAAGAGAGAGGGGACAGGAACTTGGTTTAATGCTAGAGAATTCTTGTCTAGAATGTGAAAACCCTTGTATTGAGTCTCTAGCACTTATAAAGAGAAAAATAAGATGGAAAGGAAAAGTAAGAGAAAAGACAATGGTGAAATAAGTTTACCCCAGAAGAAGTAAACATTCAACATTTTAACGTCTTACACCTAATTCTTTTTCTTGGAGTTAAGACTGTACTGTAGCCAAAATCCAAATTTTAAGCAAGAATTTCCATTTATCAGGTATAAAGTCATCATAACAAAACGTACTGGCTGCACACTATTCTGTCATGCAGATTTGGTTTAGTGATTTCTTTTGCCATCACCCAATGCTGAGTTGGCAGAAACATGAAATATAAACTAGGTCGATCAGAGTCCTTTCCTGGGATTTTTCAAATTATGATGGGAAAAAGGAGGTCATTCCCCTTTGGAGAAAATTACCATTTGTGCTGTAGTAGAAAGAACCCGAAACAAGCACACTGGTATGAACAGAAAGTCCTAGAACAAGTGCCCAGGGTTTTCCCAAGATCCCTCTGTGTCCTTTTATGACTTCATCTAGTTATTTGAGGCATCCTAGTATCTTTGTAATGAAAATGAGAAGTGAGTTTCTCGTTGTTTTCTGAATTAGTTCAAGTTGAACTTTAGAAATCTACCCCGAACTAATATAAGTTATCAGAGCAGAGAGTTGGGTCTTAGGAAAGCAGGAAAGTCCATACTTCTCGCTTGGGTAGCAGATGAATGGAAAGTCCTGTTAGCCAGGTGTTGACGTCAAAAAGGAAGAAAACCAGGCTCGGAGGGCATTGGGAATTTGAGAGGGCACCCGGTGGACCATCTGGGACCATTGGACAAGGTCAATAATCACCTTCTGCAGAACAGGGGAGATGGCACCAGTGCTGACGACAGCCACCCACTCCCTGGGAGCACGGCACCATGCTCAGTGTAGGGGAAGCTACATTTGCAAATATGGCACAGTTTGGAGCAAGTGTTGTCTCACCTCATGGCAGCATCTGGTCCTGGCCTGTGACCTCTGATGTGGAGCCCTTCTTTTTTTTTTTTTTGGATTTATTTATTTTTTCATACAGCATTCTGTCGGCATGTGTGCCTGCACACCAGAACTCACTATAGATGGCTGTGAACCACCATGTGGGTGCTGGGTATTGAACTTCGGACCTTTGGAAGAACAGCCAATGTTCTTAACTTCTGAGCCATCTCTCCAGCTCTTGTGGAGCCCTTCTAACTATGACCTAGACAGAACATGTTGAGGCCGCTTGAAAATATGGACAAATTTCATGTCACCTTAAATATCTGTGTGTGAATTCAAAAGGGATAAAAAGTTTCTCTTCTGCCTGTAAATCCCTTCTTTTAGGGAAGAGGGAACTGAGGGCAATCTGAGCTTCAGCACCGACCAGGAGCCAAGATCCTTCCTGGGCTTCACCTCACTCAGCCTCACGGCAGTCAGACCAGGGCTGGGGAGAGGGCAGATTCTGTGGCAGCCTAAAGGCAGCATATGGGCAAACTGTGGACACCGAAAGCCCTCACCGGAGAAGGACAGGTAACCATATCGGCTAGTTCCTCAGGATTATACTGCAGTTCAATTAACAGTTAAGAGTGAACTAGGAATCTGGTCACCATATTTTTCTCTATGGACAACACCAGCAAACAATTCACTAAGAAACACATTTTGGGACAACTTTGTAAGTTGTGGTTAATGTCTCTTATAAACATCATGGGAAAACACAAATTTCTGTTTGCCTATTTTCACAGCCTATATGTATCCATATGCATGCATATTAAAATCACAATTTGTTTGAACAGCTTCCTTCCATGTGAATGAAGCAAAGCCACAGTGAAGACACAGAATGAACGTGCCAGGAGATGATAACTATCACTCCCACAGCACACCCCAGCTTTGACAATGAAGATGTTAGGTCTTTCTTGAAGACTATTCAAAAGATAATGTTCAAAATGGGTCTTGTAAATCATTTATTATGATTGAAAGGGAAGTAGAGGGTAGGTGAGAAATATTACAATCAAACACAAAACATTCTTTTGTAACCAATGGTAATAATATACTTGCATTTAAAAAATGGCTATATAAGTAATTTCCTAAGAAATAAAATTTTCACATCATTGGTTACAGAAAATTGACTTCTTTCCATCAAAATATTTTTATTTCTGCTCTATTAAAAATAAGTGCAAAAATCTAAGGTAATGGTAGTTTAAGCTGAGTGTTCACTACTTTTAAATCCGATATGGCATATGAGACTGCTTACGAGTTGGTGAATGAACTGTTGGCTGAGAATAAAGTTCTCACATGTAAGTAAGAGGCCTGCCCCAATCTCTGGCTCACCCATTAATGATTAAGTGGTTTTATGGGCACTCAAAAACACTACTTTATCCCAGAAAAAAACTTTCTGAGCCAGGCGTGGTGGCACATGCCTTTAATACCAGCACTCAGACTCACAGAGGACCTCTGTGAGTTTGAGGCCAGCCTGGTATGCAAAGCTCTGGACAGTCAGGGCTATACAGAGAAACCCTGTCTTGAAAAACAAACAAACAAACAAACAAACAAACAAAAAACACTGAAAAATCACCCCAAATTGTTATTCATTTATTCTAAAAAAATGAATCTGTTCATTCATTGAGTAGTTGTGGTTCAAAAGATGGAAGGGTAAATAGCCATTAGAAACCCATTTCTATGGGGTTTAAAAATATCTTTGTCATTACTAAGATAGTACAGTATAACTTGAGCAATGTTCTTGAGTTTGTTCCTAAGGGCAGAACATATTTAAAAGGTTTAGTCTGAAAACAGGACACTGCCACAGCAAAGGAGAATACACAGGGCTCTGCCAAAAAAAAAAAAAAATCAGTGAGGCAGCTAGCATGTTCTCAAATTGGTTTAAAAAATATGGCACAGAAAGTGATAAATATATGTCTAAAAATAAATACAAATATCTACACATAAATAAAATTAGGTAGATTTGTGGTTATTACTACTACAGTTAAACATTTTTTATAATAGAATTTTCATACCTTATCACAGTCTCATTGTATCACGAACACTAATTACATTGCTTTGGTATAGCTTGGAATGAATTGGCCATTTACGCAGCTGTTATGATTTAACTATGAAGTGTTCCTAGAGGCTAGTGTGTTGAATGCTTGGCCCCACATGGTGGTGCTAGTTTGAAAGGTGATAGAAATTTTGAGAGTTGGAGCTTAGTTGGAGGAAGTGAGTCCTGGGGACAGGCTCTTCCAGATGTACCTATCCCTCGTCCCTTCCTTGCTCTCTGCTTCCGATCCACCACGAGCTGAAGAAACTTCTTATATGTCACATATTCCTGCTACCATGGGGTTCTGCCCAACTGCATGGAGACAAGCCAGCGGGGACAGAACTCTCTGAAAGAGCAAAAACAGTCCTGTCTCGCTTAGGTTGTTTTTGTCAAGTATTTTTTTCCCACAGCAATGGGATAGCTAACAAATACAAGGCAGCTCAAGACAATGTCAACTAAAAATGTTCTTCCTTTCGCATAAGTATTTTCTATTAAAATTTGCTTTGGAAGATATTTTTAAACTTGAATTAGAAGAGACTGTATGGAGGACGAAACTTTAAGGATCATCTTTGTTTCCAAAGACACTATTTATAACAAAGCAAGGTCAAGTTGACCTAGCATTAAACAGCAAAATGTGGGGGCGCCCGTGAGGGATCTTACGCTGTGCTGACAGGCAGGAATTCCAAGGCTCACTACCTCATTTTCCATACCACACTCCAGTGATCTGCAGAGGCGGCAGGGCACACGCTTTTCCAATACCACAGGGGAGGCTCTGGTTAGCGGCCCCCTGTCTTCTCACGCAGTGACTCACAGGCTCAGAAGATGGATTGCGCTTGCTCTAGGAATTTACCCCCTGCCTGTGCTCCTATAGCTGGTTCTTACACCAAACCTCCCTCCTTTCCAAATACCACTTCATTAGCTAAACGCACATTTAATTACATTCTTTGGCAGTGAGCCTTTCCGGATAGTCAACTGGTTTACCAAATGAGAGTTTGGAATCACCCTTTCAAAAGATTGCCAGGACATTTAAAAGCAAAATGAGAAGCCTTGTTGCCCAACGTCTGCGGGCCAAGAAGGGAGATTGGGGGTGTTGGTGGGGGAGAAACAAATTCTAACCTACCTTGTCTAAGACACAGTGAGCTGCTGGCACAGTTTCTGTTTATGTTTTATTGTTATCTAAATATTCCAACCCTCTCTCAGATTCTTAGAGAGTGAGCCGTTACTGCTGAGTCTGGAGTGCTGGTGTGAGCGCCATGTCGGCAGGGTGTAAACATTGTTGGCAGCAGAGGCAGCCTTGCGTAGTGGAGAACGAGGAGTGAAGGTTCAGGCTCAGGAGCTTTCAGAGTAAAGTAGGGCCTTTGGTGGGTCTGCTGTTTGCGAGAAGAGGCTGTCTCCCCAGGACCCTGGCTTGGGGTGCCTCGGTCCTGGCTGAGAGCAGCGCCGGGGCAGAGAGGTGGTGGAGCGCCGTCTTTTGCTGGTAGAAGTTGTTGATGTAACTGGCGATCAGAAGGGTGATTTCAAGAATCTAAAAGGAGAAAAACCACACCGTCAGGCTGCAGAGTTCTCTCCAGCGTCCATAGGTGGTCTCATTTGCATTTGCCCAGCCTATAGTAAAGTTTTATCCTGCCGGGCACCATCAAGGCACCATCATGTTTTCCTACTCAGTTATTGAAGAGCTTAAGATAGCCTGAATATAACTCCATTTTGAAATAAAGATCTTGACTGGGAACTGAATTCAGGTACCAGGAAATATCACAGAATGTACACCTGGCAGAAAACAAAGTTAACTCTCCTAGCAACAGCCTCCAGGAAATATAACAGAATAAATGCTTCATAGAAAATGGAGACAAACTCCCTGGCAATAATCAATGGGAATCGGTTGAGAATCGGGTGGGAAAATTCTCCCCAATGTTTCAGATATGGTTTAGAAAAATAGCCATTGTGATTATATGCCTTAGCCATTGTGATTATGTGCCTCAGAAAAGGTCACCCCGCCCTGCTAAACGTCACCCAATTCTGTAACGCCAAGGCTTGTGCCCCTCTGCTTGCTGCCATGGAAACCCCCGGCTCACAGACTTTCCCTTTAAAAATCCTGTTCACTCAGAGCTCCGGGTCCCACTTCTCTACTGCTGCGCCAGTGAGATTTGGGTCCCGAGTTCGATCGCTCTCGTAATAAAGCTCTCTTGCAATTGCATCGAGTCTCCTGGTGGTCTCTGAGGGTCCCGTGAACCTGGCATAACATTATCAGCAAGAGGGAATCTCAAAGCCCAGTAGCTTAGTGAGGATGCTAGGAAACATGGCAGTCAGCATTAAAAACGTTACAGCGTCCTGTCAATTCTATTAAACCCAAAACACTGACGGTGCTGTGGTCTTTGGACTCTGTGGTTAACTGCTCTCACTTACAGCATAGACCTAGTTAAAACAAAGAGGACTTGACAAATGGCTCGGGGGTAGAGGTGTGTGCTGCTGAGCCCAATGACTAGGTTCGCATCCCCAGGACCCACACGGTGGTGGAGGGAGAGAACCGTGACTCCCGGAAGTTGTCCTCTGACTTCTCAACCTGTGCTGTGGCATACACACGTATGCGCGCGCGCACACACACACCATCAATAAATGTTATAAGACACATTTTTAAGTTGAAAGTTTCAGAAAAAGCAATTTCTTATCCTTTTTACTAAAATTAGATTTTTATTTTATTTTTTTCAGAACTAGGGCTTGAGCCCCAGGACTCCCCACTGAGCTACAGCTTCAGACCTGAATTACATTTTAGAAAGCAGTCTTTTAGAAGGTTGCTTTATGTAGAGATGTTGAAACTGCAGAGGCGGTTAAATATAACAAAGGAACAAGTGCATTTAGCTCTACAGCTCTGCTCTGTAATGGGTCCATAGAACAAACGGCCCCAAGTAGATAAGAGCACATGGCGTACCCCACAGTAGCCCCACTCTCCACACCTGCTCTTCTGATCTTAAGTAACCCAGGCTACCCTGAACTCCACCCTGCCCCATCACACTCCTGAATGCTGGGACTACCACTGCTTTTGAAACTTTTCTTCACCAGGCACTGGCCCATTTGGAAAATTTCATTTAGTTCTCTCTGTCTGTGTCTGTGTCTGTCTCTCTCTCTGAAGTAGGGTTTTCTGGTTTCTGTCCTAGAATTCACTATGTAGAGTAGAGCAGTCTGGCTTCAAACCCACAGAGATGGCCTGTCTCTGCCTCCCAAGTGCTGGCATTAAAGGTGTACGCCACCAGGCCTGGCTTTCACTTAATTCTTTGGCTAAAATGAACAGTATCATGTCATGTTAGAAAAAGAAAACAGAACTTAGATCAAGTAAGCCAGGATTTGAACTCAGGGCTGGTAAAGTAACACTCGCTTCCATATGGAACTCTTTGTGCAAGAGGTGTCTTCCCACGAAAAAAGCAGCCAGCTGAAAGCTGGCAGAAAGGGTTTCACTCACCTTGGGCTTTGCCATGGCAAAAAGTAACTTCTCTGTTGGTTGGTCTTTTGAATGAGTATTAATGACTACCATAAAATCATCTTGATAGCCTCCAAAGGTCATCAGACTCTTGTATACATAGCTGACCACTAACCTCTTCAAAGAAAAGGAAAAGAAACTGTTATGTGCTGCTCACACTCAAAAGAAATGCCAAGATGCTGATACTGATTATGGCAAAAGCAAAAATAATTTTTCTAATGTCTATTATGTAATGTAAATAATAGTCATGTTAAGTTTAGGGATCATCAACCTATACAATCAAGTATACATTTGACCCCAAAAACTCAAATTAGAAACTATAAACATCTATATTCATAGCATCCAGTAGAAAATTATTGTTAATATATTTTTATATGTTCACTTAGGTCTCTCTGTAAGGTTAATCCATATAAAACTGATTTTTTTTTCATGAGGTCCCATTTATTGATTGTTGCTCTTAGAGCCTATGCTGTTGGTGTTCTGTTCAGGAAGTTGTCTCCTGTACCAATGAGTTCTAGGGTCTTCCCCACTTTTTCTTCTAACCGACTTAATGTGTCTGGTTTTATGTTGAGGTCTTTGATCCACTTGGACTTTAGTTTTGTGCAGAGTGATAAGTATGGACCTATTTGCATTTTTCTACCTGTAGACATCCTGGCAGACCAGCACCATTTGTTGAAGATGTTATCTTTTTTCCATTGTATGGTTTTGGCATCTTTGTCAAAGATCAGGTGTTCATAAGTGTGTGGGTTTATTTCTGGGTCTTCTGTTCGGTTCCATTCATCCACCATTCTGTTTCTATGCCAATACCAAGCAGTTTTTCTTACTGTTGCTCTATAGTACAGCTTAAGATCAGGGATGAAGATACTTCCAGAAGATCTTTTATTGTAGAAGATTGTTTTAGCAATTCTGGGTTTCTTGTTATTCCATATGAAGTTGAGAACACACACACACACACACACACACACACACACCAGGACCATGATTGCAACTTAATCGGAGCATCTTAATATTTTTCCAATACAACAAAGAGCCTGTAACAAAGAGCCTGTCTCATATGCTTCGAAACACTGAATTGTAACATAATTTTATTTGTAAACGGACTTTATTAGAGTTTTAGGAAGAATGTTTTCAAAGCTCAGTGGAAACTCAGAAGACAGCAATTCAGAATAACCTTCTGCTTACCATACCCCGAGCAATGGAAATAGGTTTTCTCTTACCATGGAGATGTATTCTAGGATGCTCAATCCATTTTCATGGACAGCCAGCCACACAAAAGTATTGCCAAATGATGACGCTGTTATGGGCTATGGAGAAGTGAAAATACACTGTATTATAGATGCAATGTCACAGCTGTATTTTAAGTATAAATACATGTAAGTTCTGCCATTACACAAACCCAACAAAAAAAACATATTGAAAATCTCCGTTGTTTTAGGTTCCTGACTTGCAGGTTTGAATCTTTACTTAGTAATGTGTGCATTTAAACAAGCTTCTTGTACCATGGGGGACTCAGATTTCTGATCTTTCATACAGGAACACTAATTTTTACAGCTTCTTTTTGTTTCAAAAATTTCATAGTTGTCAAATGTTTTAGGGTTTCTGTGATGATCACACTCCTAAAGAAACACAGCATCAATATTCCTAAGGTGCTCATGTTAGAAGGAGTGAAGGACTGTGGTGATGCAGGCATACCATTCCTGATATTCAATGTCTAACAGAAGCAGAAAGAAAAAAAAATGCTTGATTAATAGGAACAAAAAGTACTGGAATTTCTATAATTTTTTTATGGCTAGAACAAGAAAATCTTATTAATGAAAATCTTTTACCAGAAAAATGTAATCAAAAATTCAAGAATGTTTTTGAGCATTTTTACAGTGATTGTTTTATTTGATTAACAACTGAAATTCTAGCAAAAACACACCTCTCTTAAATCTTATAGAAGAGTATCAAAACTAAAGATAAGGAGAAGGGATGAATCTTAGGTTGTATATAACAAAGCTCAATTTGAAGATTCCGTAAATCTCGACTGTAGGGTTCCCGCTGTCTCTTCCGAGGGCGGTTTCAGATGGCATCGGGCATCAGAAAGTATCTGGGCTGGGGATGTCGTCTGGTGTGGTGTGCTCGCCTGGACTGCACAGGGCTTTGGGCTCAACCCCCAGCACCACAAAACAAAAGGTTGACGGTATATTTTATTGGAGGACTGCGAGTTCGTCTTGATTAAGGATTCACTGATAAAGTTCAGTACACAGGTGTGGACATGTGAGGGAATATTATTCAGTCCTTAAAAAGAAAGGAAAATTTGATACCTCTTACATCACAGATGTATCCTGGAGACATTACCTAAGTACGACAACTAAAAGTGGTCTGTGGTTCCCTGAGTAGAAAAATTCATAGAAACAGAAGGGTGGCCCAAAGGTAGCAAGGGGAGTGCATGGAAAGTCAAATGTTTAATGAGTGTCAGGCTGCAAGACAAAAAAGTTCTGGAGTCAGTCAGGTGGGCACACAGTTTTAACCCCAGCACTCAGGAGGCAGAGGCAGGCGGATCTGAGTTTGAGGCTACCCTGGTCTTCAAAGCAAGTTCAAGGACAGCCAGGACTCCACAGAGGGAAAAAAAAAATGGAGGATGGACAGTTGTACAAATGTACTTAATGACAGAGCACCATCCTTTAAAAAGGGCTTTTCCTACAGATTTTTTGTCATGTGTATTTTTTCAACAAATATGAAAAAGGGGGGAGGGTGTGCAACCATGAAGCTGACAAGGGAAGGTCCTCCCTGTTCTAAAGACAGACACATGCCGGTCTCCCGGTACACCAAAAACAGCACCCTTAGCTAAGGATAGCCCAGAAAAGAGCACGTGTGTGTGTGCGTGTGTGTGCGTGCAAGTGTGTGTTAGCAGCACTTCCCATGCTGAAGCTAGAATTAATAGTCATTGTAAAACGGTTCACATTCCAGGACATCTGTTTTCAGACAGACTCTCACTGTATTACCTAGGCTGGCCTCTAATTAGCAGTCTCGAGCAATGCTCCATCAGGCTCCTGAGTAGCTGGGACTATAGGAGGGTACCACCGTGCCAGGCTTATTCTTTTCATTGAAAAGCCCAAGTAACACAGACCTTGAATTCTTAGCAAACATTGTATAGATGTTATGATACTAACAGGCATAATTTTTCTATTATTTTAGCATTTGGCTTCTAGTTCCAGTAGCAAAGTAATGTCTAACCTAATGGCCAGCGGTAGAAGATTCCTGGAATGTGACTTTTCTAGTCCACACTTTTATTAAAAGACGAACAAATTGAAATAAGATAGTTTGACCAATCTGTCCAGAGTAGCGTGGCTCTTCAGCAAGTATTTACTAAGTGATAATTATTTCCAAACCCTGAGGGTAGGCACCATAGGAGGACTGTAGGGTCACTGTCCAGGAGTGTGCAAGCACTAATGAGAGAGATGGAACACAAGACAGGATGGACGTAGCTTTGGAGCCAAAGAGAGTCCCAAGTGGCCACATTTAAGGGAAAGAACAAAAACTCAAAGGCACAGTTTGGGGCTCGTGGGATGGCTCCAGGGAAGAACTTTTTCTCAGTATCCTGGATTCAATGCCCAGTACCCAAACTGAAAAACAAAATGCTCCAAAAGAAAAGGCATAGGCTTTCCCTTGGGGCAAGGGCCAGCCACTTCCAAGGCAGGGCTGTCTCCCAGCCCAGTGTTCCCACAGCGCCCTGTTCTGGTCTCTTCAAATGGTACTTAACCACACAGTGCCTGTTGCAACACTGGGCTATGCTGAGAACTGCCCTGAAGTCTGGTACAACTCATCGGAAACTGCTTCATGGGTGCCTGGAGCTCATCTCAATGCTTGCCAAATAGGACTCAGTAAATACTCATTAAATAATTAAGCCAGTAAGTGATAGAGTTAATGAGTAAATGGGGGATGAATAAAGAGAAAGAGAAGTAAGCGGAGTTCAGCTAGCTCTTACACCTCCTGATTGGCCTGATGACTCTCAAAATGGCTTAGTGTGTGTGGGTGGCATGGGGTGAGTAGAGGGGAAAAGATGAAGGGTCCCTTCTCCCTAGCATTCCTCATTGGTTTCTTTAAGTTGCTGGGAACTTCCTCTTTTTATTTTTAAGTAAAACCAAATATGTGGTATTGGGTAAATCTGGCCAGACAGGCACACAGAGGTTTTTATTATGTGTCTTCTTTCCATTCTCTCTTACTTTTGCGAAGAACAACTTGGCACCAAAGAATGGCCACTTCCTGGCCACTGTCAAATAAATGCGCATGCAATCAGCCGCACTGTGTCCCCGGAGGGCCATCCATCTGGTGGAGAGTCTCTGGTAAAGCTGCCTATAAAGAAAAACAAACAAAACACCCAAAAGGGACAAAAACAAGACACAAAAGCAAAACCGTAAGCAGAGTGTCATCCTTCCAGAAAAAGCCCTGTTCAGCCTCTCCCAGTGCGTCTTCATCCACAGCTCACCTCTCCGGAAAAAATTTCACCAGATTCTCCCACAACACTGAAGTGCTCACCACAACCTAGCCAGTAAATCTTTACCATCTACATGGCTAACATCAAAGCTTGGCATAAAAGTCAGTGTGCTGAGTAATTACTCTGGAGAGTATTGCCAGTTTTCAAAGTGCCCAAAAAGTACAATTTGGAGGAAAGCTGATTGTGTTTCTTCTCAGACAGTACCAAGGGTCAGCCACTTCATTTCATAGGCCAAGATTAACCCAGGATTAATGAAATGGTGGTCTAAATTACAGTAATTTCTATTAAAAAAATTCTTCAAAAATTGGACAGTTACTGTAATTTCAGCATTTTGGAGAGAAAAGCATGAAGATCAGGAACTTGAGGTCATCTTCAGCTCATACCAATTTTGAGGCTAGCTTGAGCTACATGAGCCTCCAAAACACGTTATTTTGGTTATTAAGGTTATGTCATTACGCAATGAATATATACTTCAAGCATCATATTGTAGGTGACAAAAATATTCTATGGTCTCAGAAGACATCTTAAAATATGTAAAACCTCTTGTGACATATTGGAATTAAACATTCTAAGAAAAGAGCCAAACAGAAAATTTTACTAAATTTTTAGTGCGACTCCACCTTCTAACAAGCTGAAAATACCATCTTACCTTAACTGTTCTTCAGAACAGCCTTCTCTGTACCTTTTAGGGTAAAATTTCTCTATGACTTGTTTGAGGGTTTGATTTGTTTTGCACTGGTCAGTCAGCTGCCTGGATGGAGTCGAGAAAGGTCTTTCAAAATCCCCAATCTCCACCTGGTGGAAAAATCCCCGAAAGAGAAATAGAATAGCAAGAACAGCTTTCAGAAAGAAAATCACTTTTGCTCTTTTGAAACATTCTTTGGGAATGTGAAACACAAGTCTGTTTGTCATGGTTGTGCGGCGGTATGATTTATAATCGTATGTATGAGCTGTTGTTTTAAATATAAATTTCACTTGAAATCTAACTTAGGAGAAATTTCGTGTCAGACATTTCGTTTCCATTTCTAGTTGGAACTCCTATCTTAAGTTTCTCTTCGTGTTGCCCTGAAAGAACGTTCTATTTAAGAGAGAAAGGGTTTGTTTTGGCTTACGGTTAGTTCCCCTTTATAGTCCATCATAATAGGGGAGCCACAGTGGTCACGTGACATCTGTAATCAGAGACAGAGAGTGATGGATGCGTCCTTGCAGCCTTCTCCTGGGATGTGACCAGTAACTTGAACTTGAAACCTCCCCTAAAGTTTATTTTGTCAGGGTAGTCTATCGAAGCATCAGGAAAGAAACTAAAACACCACCTTAGACCTACTCGCTAGAGCTACCCTGTTACTGAGCATAACAGAATAGTCTTGTATTGTAAAGTACTATTTTAATCACTAGTAAATAAGGTGAAATTTCAGTTAAAAATAAAAGGTGAGAAAAAGACTAAGAAAGTTTGCAACAATATTAGTTAGACTTTTTAAGGGTCTCTTTTGCAGACAATGGCAGAGAGGACTACACAATATCATTACATCTCCCCCTAAATTTCCTTTACAAATGCTTCTGAACTCACCAACTCTTCCTATTACCAGATTACTCTTGGAAACATAGCCAAAGGTTCACCCACTGCTCTCCCCTAGGGAAAGAATGTTTAGCCCTTATAGACCACACAGAATCCATCCTCTCCCAACTCACCTACACCTATATTCAGACTCCACTGTAAGTTGGGTGCTACAGTAAATGCTGTGAGAGAGGAAAAGTTGAGTATCATCCCCACCTTCAGTGAGTTTACCATCTGGTTGGGGAGACTGAGGCATAAACAAATACGCTGATAAACTACAACTAACACCTTGTATAGGGTACCAAAGGGTGTTCAAGCAGGATGATGGATTGGGGAACATTTGGATGATGCCCAACTAAACATCCTATTCAAAGAACTTCCCAGTGAGCAGCTGGAGGTCCACAAGTCCCAGTGGTCTCACACAAAGGGGTCACTCTCTATTCTAAAGGTTCCACTGCTTCAGTTTAGGCTGTGACACAACCAGCAGAGAGGTTCTGAGCACATGCTATGCCTCCTCTTTTCTGAGTCATAAGCTCACAGGTTGCCCTCTGAACCTTAGCTGAGCTTTGCCCTTCCAGCCTACACGCGTCACTTTCCAGGTGCTTTAATTCTGCCTCTGCTTGTTAGTGAGTACCGATTTGCCCTTCAGCTCTCATCTCTCACTCTTCCTGGTCTCTAACAGTTCCCATCTTCACAATCATGACGTCCTCACTGCATATAAAAGCTGCCCGTCCAACCACAGCAACACCTGTCCTGTAGGGCAGGTTGTGCACTGCCTCCGCCTATCAGCAGGGAGCGCTCACACAAGTTTACCTGCAACACCCAGACCAGCCCGGCCAGAGCCTCTGAAGTGTAGACAACGGCTACCAGCAGTAGTAGACCAAGGCAGCCTAGGGAGCCTTTTGTGGCTTGTTCAAGTTCAGGATCTCCCTATCTGGTGTCTGACCTACCAGCTAGCACAGAATAAACACAACCAATGTTTGGACACAGTCAACAGTAGCTCAGATGACCCCCAACATGCCTGCACAAACATGTGCTTTACTAAGCACTATAACAACTGGGAGATTGTCTTAGTTAGGGTTTCTCTTGCTGCAATGAAACAGCACGCCAAAAAGCAAGTTGGGGAAGAAAGGATTTATTTGGCTTACACTTCCACATCCCTGCTCGCCACCAAAGGAAGCCAGCATAAGAACCTGGAGGCAGGAGCTGACACAGAGGCTGGAAGGTGCTGCTCACTGGCTTGCTTCTCTTGCTTACTCAGCCTGACATCAAACCCAGAAGCACCAGCCGAGTAATGGCACCATCTGCCATGGCCTTCATCAATCGCTAATTAGGATAATGCCTTACACTTTGCCAAAAGTGTGGCTATGAGTCTCAGTATCTCCTTCAATACCTACTGTGTAGTCTTTCAGAGGTCCTCTGTGGAAGGCTCCTGTCCTGTACCTTATCTTCTTTCTACTTCCTATGGCTATCCTGTTTGCCCTTCTGAATGAGGATTAAGCATCTTCCCTAGGATCCTCCTTATTGTTTAGCTTCTTTAGGACTATAGGTTTTAGTATGATTATCCTATAGTATATGGCTAATATCCACTTATAAGTGAGTGCATACCATATGTGTCTTTCTGCTTCTGGGTTACTCACTCAGGATAATCTTTTCTAGTTCTCATAATTTGCCTGCAAATTTCATGATTTCCTTGTTTTTAATTGCTATAGCCAAACTTTGGACAGAGTGCTGGAAACCTTATGGAAGAAGAGGGAGATAGAGAGACCCAGAGGGGACAAGAACCCCACAAGGAGAACAACAGAGCCAGAACACCTGGGTCCAGGGGGTCCTATAAAGATCAATACTCCAAACAAGGACCATGCATGAGAGGATCTAGACTTCCTGTTCAGAGGAAGCCCATAGGCTGCTCAGTTTCCAAGTGGCTTCCCTAATAAGGGGTACAGGGACTGTCTCTAACATGAACTTAGTGTCTGGCTCTTTGATCACCTCCCCTGGGGAGTGTAGCCTTGCCAGGCCATAGAGGAAGATGATGCAGCCAGCCTTGATGAGAGCTGATAAGCTAGGGTCAGATAGAAGGGGAGGAGGTCCTCCCCTATCAGGGGACTAGGAAAAAGGGATAGATGGAGAAGAGGGAGGGTGGGTAGGACTGGGAGGAGATGAGGAAGGGGACTGCAGCAGGGATCCAAAGTAAATAAATTGAAATAAATAAATAAACAAATGAATAAATAAAATAAAAAAGAAAGAAAATACCTTACAGTAGATCTTATGAAGGCATTCTTTCAATTGAGGTTTCCTCCTTTCTGGTGACTCTAGCTTGTGTCAAATTGACCTAAAACTAGTCAGAACAGAGATCAACTCCAAGAACTCCCTCACTCAGCAACAGCGTTTGGCTGGTAAGATGGCTGGGGGTGGGGGGTCAAGGCACTTGTCTTTACTATCTCCTGGCCCCACATGATGGAAGGAGAGAACAAACTCCTGAAAATTGTCTCCTGACAGACATCCTATGTTTTATTTTATTTTTTAAAGCTGTGTAACATCAACAAGACCTTCACACACTCAAATCTGCAACAGAATAAATAACTCATCTACATTGCATAACTTCTTTATTGTGTTTTATTTTCCCCCTCACCCCCAAATGCTGAGGTGACTTCAGGTCGTATTCTTTTCGCTACCCAGCCACTGTCATTATGAGTATACTCAATAAGCCTGTCTACTTCCAAAAACAATGCTTTGAAAAAAGACGAAAGCATTTAATTTTTTCTTATATACATAGACACATTTACTTTTTAGTATTATTCATATGTTCCAAAGGTTCTTGGTGTATGATCTCATCTTTCTGACCCATTTAAAAAATGTTAAAAATTATGTGTCCTTCATAAGTAGATTTAGGACTGGAGAGACAGCTCAGGATTTAAGAGGACTGGCTGCTCTTCCAGAGGATCTGGGTTCGATTCTGAGCACCTACATGATGGCTCACAGCCATCTGTAACTCCAGTTCTGGAAGATGTGATGCCCCTTCTGGCCTCCTAGGACATAGCATGCATGTGACAGACAGACATAATGTTCAGGTAAAACCTCATATACATAAAATGAAAATAAACAAAATCTCTAAAAAAATTAGATTTAATTTTTTCTTAGAGAAGTCCTTTTATGACAAAATTAAAAGCTAAAGAAAGAAGATAGACTTAAATGTTAGTAAAGACAAAAGTGATTTTCGTGGAGAAAGTAAGCCCCATGGACTCTCTCTGTCTAGAAAGTAAGGCTCTGGTGCTTTTCCTCAGTCTTTAACCATTTGTAACAAAAGAACACAGAGCACACAGCAAGCATGGCTTCAAGTTCAGATGACCTTAAAACACTCTCAAAGTAAACCTAGTTACTCAGTGTCCATTCTTCTACCTACGGGAAGACTGCTCGTGGGAAAGCAGGAGTGACAGGAACAGTGGTGGCCCTTGGGGAGGCCCCGGTCACTAATGCAAAGCAGAACCACAAGTAATTATGAGCCACCAAGGTCAGGACTGCAATACACATGTGCAAAACATTGCAGAAGTTCCCCAGAGTGCCATCTGAGCCAGCAGGACTCAGAAAGGTACCCTGGTATAAATATACCACAAGAGAAGCTAATGAGCAAGATGAAATGGCTGTTTAAAAAAAGAAAACGAAAGGAAAGAAAGAAAAAGAAAGAGAGAGAGAGAGAGAGAGAGAAAGGAAGAAAGAAATGAAGAAAGAAAGTTCCAACCATTATATTTTGCCAATAAAAACTCAAGAGCCTGTTGGAGTGAAAGCCTGCTAGCTCAGAGAGGCAAAGAAAGCACCCAGCTGACCTTCCTTCTCAGCTCAAGTCCAGATGGAAAAACCCAAAAGTCTCACTAGCTCAGCTGATAGCCCAGGAGGAAAAGGCCAAAAAACCCAAGGGTAAAGGCTTGCTAGCTCAAAGCCCCCAAAGCCCAAAAGCCAGAGGTGTAGAGAGCCAAAGCCAAAGAGCTAAAGCCCCTTCTACTTCTCCACACTGTCTTAAATACCCTTCAACTCAAAGTCCCTCCTACTCTTTAATCCCTGTCAGCTGGTTTCTTGCTCTACCTCTTGACCTAGGGTTAATTTTATTAAATCCTGTGTACAGAAAGCTCTTAGATTAAAGGGGTGTTCTAGGACTGGTGGAACCAAAGCAGAATCACCTGCTTACAATAAACAGAACGTTCTTGGATTAAAGCTGTGTGATGTGGATCAACCTCACCAAACAAGGAACAGGGTTTTACAATGTTGGGGTTCACAGTGGGATCAAATAGCCTACAGCAGAAATTAGCAAAAGACAGAAAAGAGGCAGAGCCAGTCCACACACCTGGGACAAAATCAGTAAGATTAGTACAGTCTGAAAAGGACTCGGGTACTTAGGGTTAACCATAAACAATAGAGTGGTTTTGCACAGACCCACGCTCCAGGTAGGGTTTAGAATATTGAGGCTGCAGAGGCAGCTGCTAGGGCAGATTGTGAATGACCTTTGATGCGAATGAGATGGCACCTGTTTTCACTCTGCCTCCCTCTCAGGTACTAAGGCTGTGTGAACAACTTACAATGGACAAGTGCCACTGCGCCACCTTCCGGTCTCAAGCCTGAGAAAAACGGCAGGTTCTCCTTCATGTCTCTTTTAGGGTATGGCTTTTGCCACTCAACCACCATCCTGGTTAGAAACCCAAATATTTCCTCAAAGGGAACACATGTAATGTATGTAGTATATAATATTGTACAGCGAAGACTTTGTGGAAGTCTCAGCTGAGAGCCGGCACCACGAGTATATGCAAATAAACGAGCCTGCCAATGATTCCAGCCCACACTCATGCTGTCACAGCTGTTCCTCAGGCTAAGCTAACTGAAGCCACAGGAAACAAAGACTAAATGCCTTTTGCATATCTGTTCAAACTGTTTTTGGAGTTTTTAATTGTTGTTGCTGTGTGCTCTTCTGTCTTGTTTGTCTTTGCAGCAGGGTCTCAGTAGGTATCCCTGGCTGTCCTGGAACTCGCTACATGGCCCAGGCTTGCCTTGAACTTGTGATCTTTCTGCCTTTGCCTCTCAAGTGCTAGTATTCTCAACTACAGGTATTCATCACCACAGTCAACTCAAAACCGTTTGTTAGGCAGCAATGGATGACTGGAAAAAGCGTTCCCGTAGCATCTGTGTGAAGAATGACTTTGTGGGGCACCACACCAAGGGAGGCATATGGTCAGAAGGTGGTTGGAGAGCAAAGGATGCAAGGTGGGTCTGAATCACAGCAATGGCAGCACAGACAGAGAGTGGTGAGCAGAGGAACATGTCTGCATTAAAGTGAGAAGGTAAGGGAGAAAGACTGGGAAAAGGCGGTGGGGTTGCTGGAATGGATGCTCCCCTAGAGGATGAGGAGGGGCCGTGTCATGATGAAGACGCACGATGCAGAGAAGGGAGCGGATAGCTGGTGCAGTTTTCAGTGGGCTGAATTTAAGGAGCCTGTTACACAGGCATGAACTGGAGGGAAAGGTTTCAGCAACCATCGGCTTGGGTGGTGGATGAGACAAAGAATGAATGAGACATCCTGGGATGATGAATAGGGAGAGAATGCACAGACTACAGACGCGGGGCCCAAGCATCTGTCCTCGTGGCACGGTCCAGAGGAGCCTTCCTAAGCCCCGCCTCGCTTATCCACACAGACGCAGGTGTGCATTTTACAACCACCTTCCTCCTCTTGAGAATGAAGACCTTACACGCTCTAGGCACACTGCTGCCTGCAGGGCCGGCTTCCCGGCCTCCTGCATAGGTAGGCAAGACTATGTGCTTCAGTGACAACCAGGGGCTTAAACAGGGAGGTCAGTGTGAGCTATGTTTTCCCAACACTGGGAAGGCATGTCCTTCTCAGTCCCCCGACACTGGACCATGCCGGGCTCTAACAGACCTCCAGGATCGTGAGGGTGGCACCAGTGTGTGGCAGAATGGGCAGAAGAACCAAGTCCTCATGGCTCTGAAGAGGTATCCATATGCAATATTTACCTTGTGAGACCCAGCCTCCCACCCCCGCCACCCCGCTTCCGGATAGGCTCTTGCTAATGTAGCCCAGGCTGGCCTTCACACATGATCTTCCTGCTTTAATCTCCCAAGTGCTGAGGCACAGGTACTTAATCACTAGGCTCAGGATAAAACACGCTTCTGTTTTTTTTTAATTCGCTATTAATTTGTGGTTATGTGTTAAAGCAATCCAAACTTACTCCTAATTGATACAATAGGTAAATAAAAGAAAGGGCTCTCGCTTCGTCCAAGACTGCTGTTAGATTGCTGGCTGTACATACCATTTTCAGTGCCACCACCCAAACTCAGGTTCCCTCAGTAACTGCAAAGCTTCGAGCAATACTTTCGAAAGAACCAAGAAATGTGTTGCCTTTTAGAACGCAGGGTCCCATCCCATGCTACCGCATCGTCAGGGGTCAGATAACAATGTAATAACAGTGCCTACAGTTTTTAATATCTTCTTAATCATAGCAAAGTGAACTTAAAGGTGTCCTATTTTACTGCATTTAACCATGGTAAGAATGGTAAGAAACCAGCATCTTACCATGTGCTTGTGCTATTTTAGGCAACATGGAACTTACCTGGGCTAAAAGTGCTGCCATTTCTAGTGCCAGATCTTTGTTCAGAGGGAAAAGGCCGTTTATGATTTGATCATTTGTCTGATACAGCAGCAGCAGCTTCTCTCTATCAGTCTCTCCATGAACTTGCATTGAGAAATATAGTCTGGAAGGAAAAAGAGGAAATTCCTCACAGTATTTAATTAAAAATTCTCTAGTGTGTGTGTGTGTGTGTGCGTGAGTGCATGAGTGCGTGCGTGCGTGTGTGTGTGTGTGTGTGTGTGTGTGCGTGCGCAATGTTCTCTCCTACTATATTGGTTCTGGGGAGCAAACTCAGGTCATCAGGCTTGGTGGCAAGTGCCCTTCCCTACTAAGCCATCTCACTGTCCCCCTTTCTTTCAGTGATACACAGAACCAGGCACAAGCTAGGCAAGTGCTCAGCCACTGAGCTATACCGCTCTTCACCAACGTTCTCACTGAGGAAGACAGTGAAGTAAATCACAGGACTGCTTTCACCAGCCTGCTGCATGACACAAACAGACCACTGCCATCTGGAAAACATGAGGCAAACTGCTTTGAAGTGGAGGGACCCTTCTGTTTAAGTTAATGTTTTAAATATCCCGAAGCACTAAGCCACTGTGGTGCTCTGAATAAGGATAACTCCCCCATAGGCTCATGTATCTGAATGCTTAGTCACCAGGAAGTAGCACTGTTTGAAAGGATTAGAAGGATTTCCTAACTGCTTTGTTGAAGGAAGTACGGTACTGGGGGTGGGCTTTGGTATTTCAAAAGCCTGTGCTAGGCCTAGTTGCATGCTCACTCTCTCTCTCTCTCTCTCTCCCCCCCCTATCCCCGCTCCCCACTACTTTCAGATAAAGTCATAGCTCTTGGCTACTTCTCCAGCACAACATCTGTAGTTATGCTCCTGCTATGATGACAATGGACTAAGCCTTGAAACTCTAAACAAGCCCCTAATTAAATACTCTCTTTTATAAGAGTTGTCTTGGTCATAGTATCTCTTCACAGCAATAGAACAGTGACTAAGACAGTCCTTAAATGAACTGGAGGAAGGGCTTAAGACTCTTGAGTGACATTAAATTTACTCCCTGTAAGGAATGCAGAATACAACAAATTCTTCATTCCAATGAACTGAATAAACCCAGTTTTCATCACACAATCTTTTTACAACATCTTGGACATGCTAACTAGGAAATGAGGATCTCAATTAAAAAATCAACTTCAACTAACATCAAATGTCGGGGAGGCTTTTCACCTGATGCCTAAAAGATACTATTTGTAGAGTCAGGTCTGTTTCGATTTTTTTGGTCACATGCAGATGAGCATCTTTAGAATCATCAGAAAACAACACAATCTATTATTCCTTGTGGAAAAAGGACATGGACTTTTGTTTGTTTTGAGATGGGGCTCTCTGTTGCTGAATCTGGTATTGGATAGCCCAACCTGAGTAGCTAGGACAAGATATTCTACCATGCCTAGCTCATGACTTAGCTTTTGTTTGCCTGGGCATGACACTTGCTGTGCTGCTGGGTCCTGCTTTCAGATAAGCCATAGTGTAACAAAGTCCTAAGACAATGAGGCAGGTGAGCAGCACCCTGACCAGCCTGAATGCTGCCATGGTGACACAGTGGTGAGAAAGAGAGACTTGATGGAGTAGTTGTTATGTGTGTGTGTGTGTGTGTGTGTGTGTGTGTGTGTGTGTGTGTGTTGCATGCACTTGCACACGTTCAGGAGAGGACATGTCCCTTAGTTAGGGCATCTGTCTGAGCACCAGGGAAGGAGAGGCAGCAGGTTGCAATCTGGAGGAGTGTGCTTGGTGTTCTCTGTGGAGCTCCTCCTAACCACAGTTCTGACCATCTTCCTGCCAAGCCCAGACGACCATCAAAGCTGTTTCAAGAAGTCAACCACAGCACAATTTCCATCCATGGCTATACGAAGACAGAAATACAGGCTTGTCAAGCAGACAGGAGGAAGGAACTGGACAACAGAAATAGGCAATAGATGGAAAACATAATCGGGAAAGTGGTATGGCATGAAGAGAAAGAGGTTGAAAATAAAAGTTTCACGTAGGCCTCATGTCCTCAGGAAGGAACTACACTGTTCATTCCCATGACCCACAAGGAGATGGGAAAGTGTTTTCACTGAGAGTGCTTAATACAATGGGAATGGTGCTATATCTACAGGGAGAAAGGGACCAATGTGTTTTTGATAATTTCCAGCAAGCCTACTAGGTTCAGCCTGGGAAATAAAAGTGAAGTGCCTTAAAGCAGGAAATACAGTCCCAGACAAGCACAGTCCAGGCATCCAGTATGTTGGAAGGCTCAGACTCCTAGGAGAAACAGATTGGGCTCTGACCCTTAGACAAAGCTTCGGAGAACATGGAAGGCATTGCAAACACAACCAATAAAAGTCTGCAAATCAGAGCAGGAAGGCCACCGAGGCAAGCTGGTGAACTCCTGTAATTCTTGCACTAGGCAGAATGTGAACAAGTGAGTTCAAGACCAGCCTGGGTTACACACTGAGATCCTGGCTTTAAGACAAAAAGTCTTGATTCTAGAATCTTTAAAATGTGAGGATCGCTAGAAGAAATAGGATAAGCTAGATGACATCTCAAGACCCTTCCCACCTCTTTTGTTTTGTTTTTTGAGACAGGGTTTCTCTGTGTGGCCTTGGCTGTCCCAGACTCACTTTGTAGACCAGGCTGGCCTCAAACTCACAGAGATCTACCTGCCTCTGTCCTGGAGAGAGCTGGGATTACAGGCATGCTCCTCTCAAGACCCTTTTCAACTTAGAAGCCAGTTGGATGCATGTGTTCTTAGAGTTAGCTAAGTGTGGAACTGGGAATGTTAAACTATGTTCCAGAAAATGACAACTACAAAGTGTTACCAAAAATAACCTTTGATTTCAAGGAGGGGGAAGAAGAGTGTTCTTTGTAGGAACTACCCTTGCCAGTCTGCTTTGTTGAAACCACACCTTGACTTCTGCACTCTCAAGCATGCAGCAAGAAATCAAATCAAATGAGAACCTTTTCATACAAGTTAGAATTCAAATACTAGTTTCCAAGCGACTGTGCCTGAGAGCATGTTCAAAGCCTATTAATTAGACCTTTGATCCCTGAGTCAAAATAATTAAAATTCCATAACTTGCTAAATATAAATGTAAGATTCCATGATGAAGGAAAATCGGTATTTTAGGCATTACAAAGCAAGTTGGCAGAGGAAGAATCAGATCCCTGGCGGCATGACAGGTCACAGCTAGTTCCCCTCCTGATTGTGTCACTGGAAATTAGGGCTCATTGTCTAAGCTATTTATAAGTATATGCAAAGCACCACCATATTCAGAATCAGCGATGGCTCTTCAGGCTTTGCAGACTGTGTAAACACTAATCCTCTTGTTTGAGCTGTTTTGTTGCTGTTTAAACAAGGTAGTTTCATGATGCTACCACCTATCTCTTGGTCCTTTTTAGTGACAAGGCCTTAAAGGCGTTATTCTTATCTATAGGTACTTCAAACCGCCTTTGTCCATTTCACCCAAATTTGATTTGGGTTATAACTATAACCATTGAAACCAGAATTAATATGTGCTAATTGACCATAAGGTATTACTGATCAGGAATTGTCTTAGACATGAGGGTCTTCCCATTTTGTTCCAACAAAATCAAACTGAATTTTAACATAACCACAAAGAGATCAACAAATGGGGACAGCAAAATGAGAACCTTCAGATGGGTACTTCTCTAAAGCCTGAGATTATCCAGAGTGCTGCTAAAAATGCAGATTTCCAGAGGCCTTTGCACTCATCTAGCCCGCTGCTCTTGACAGTCACTGAACAGTCACAAATGAAGGCTGACACCAATAGAAACCTCAGTAGAACTATTGTGATGATTTTAATATACCTGAAAGTCTCAATTCACCTCAGTAAATTCCCAGGAATAAGTCATATTTCAGCGTGTTCTGTGTGGATGGTGGGTAGATGATGTCAGAGCATCCACTTAAGGGTGCAATCATCTTACCCTCAAAGAGGAGTCAATAGCCACTTGCAAAATGGAGTCTCTTAGGACAAGGAACATCCTGGAAAACCATCACCTTACACAGTGCAGAGTAACTCTGAGTAAAGCATAGCTTGATCCCACAAAAACCTATTCATGCCCCATTATTTAAGGATACTGCAGATCTCTGGGAATGGATGACCTAAGACTATGGATGCCAGCTGTGATGGCTAATCTTGGTTGCCAACCTCAATGGAGGGATTGCCTCCATCAAGCTGGTATGAGCACAGCTGTGGAGCATTTTTCTGGATTGCTAACTGATGAAAGAGGTGTCAACCCTGGGCACTAGAGCCTGGGACCTATAAAAAAGATGACTGAGCAAGAGCCTGGGAGGGGAGCTGGTACACAGCTCAAGCTTGTGCATTGAGCTCCTGCCCTGTCTTCCCTTGATGATGGACTATGACCATTGGATAAAAACAAACTCTGTTTTCCTCCAGTTGCTTTCAGATGTGGTATTTATGAGAGCAACACAAAGCAAACCTGAAGGACAATACTTCATGGTCCCCTTCTCTTCATAAGATGGGCAATTGTCACAGCTCACAAGCTCCTGAATAAACAGGCTCTGACGGATGACAGCTAGCATTGGCTCATGTAAAAGGAGTCTGTTCATGCAGAAAGTAGCCCCCTTGGTAGCTCAGTGTGCAAGGTGCAGCCTACACTTGATCTTAGCCAAAAGGCCAAGAAGCGATGCAAGGTGCAGCCTAAAATATGAATCTATCACCTTAGTTCAACCATTTTCTTACTGATGAGTATATGCAAGCCCTACTATTATTTTTCACTATTCCAAAATTATGGAAAGAAGATACTGGGCCACACTGGAATATTCTGCCCACTTATGTGGCTATTTCTGTAGGGTAAATTACTAGAAAAACACATACTGAACTAGATGAAAGGCTGTTATGCCCTTTTTATATTATACATTGCCTTCACTTCTTTCATTCCAATGTTAAGTCTCTGAAGATCTTCCAAAAGCAATTCTGAAAGAATTCGACATTATGCCAGTAATTCCACTGAGTTCTTGGCCTGATATTTTATAGATTAATTTATGAGCTATGAGATTCAAAAAAAATTTTAAAAACCTAGAAAAACATCTTTTTGAAGGTACATTTAATGTAAGATAGTCAGTTCAATGCCATCGTCTGCTAAAAAAAAAAAAAAAAAAAAAAAAAGGTTAAGAAAAAAAATACTTTTTGAAAAAGAAAGAAAATCAGGTTTCTGACCACACGCCAAAGTGTTATAATTTAATCCGTTGAGAAGGCTTCTGCTTTCTCAACACACAGAGTCTCCACTGGCTAACCATTCTTTCAGACAGTTTTTAAAGTTTCCACTCTCAGCCCCTTTCTGAACTTAGTATCAACACCATCTCAAAAACAAAACAAAACAAAACAAAAACACCCATCCAGATGGTTTCCAGCCTAGGTCTGGCTCATGTGTTATGCTTTCATGGAGTGACCTTAGAGAGGCTATATGCTTAGCCACTGTCATCCTTATTAACTTAATAATTCCAAAAGATCAGAGACTGGCTCTTTGTCTGTTCCTAACACCATTTTACCCTGAGCATCTATCTAAGTTACCAGCTTAGGAGTTGATGGAAGAGAGTGGGAGAAAGAAATGGAAAACACACACACAGAGACTGACCTCAGAAAGAGTAAGAATTAGAAACAAAATGGCATGTGGTATTTTCTCCCAGAACAGAGCTATTACTTATACATAAAAAAGATAAGCGCATGTGTAAACATTATGACTTCCAAGGCCTGTGAATAGGAGACCAGACCTCAGGCACGGTTTGGACAGCTGTGTGCTCCACTCCCAAATTCAGAGCTGGAATTCCACACCTGTTTTTGTAAGTCAGCCGAACAGTTCTTGTGCCCTCACATTTCCCGGGATGCTGTTCTTTGGACGCCTGCTCCCATTTAGAAATAATGTCACAGATCTAGAAAGGAAACAGAAAGCTGAGATCCATAGGAGATTTGTTTGTTTTCTGTTTTTTGTTTTTTGTTTTTAATCAACATTTTAAAAAGACTAGAGCATCTGTGAAGCTGAAAATTTTGAGTGCATGCAAACCACCCTCACTCCGGTTTTGTTAGTTGAAGCTTCTGCAGAACTATGAGCTCTGAGTCTAATTATACATTGTTTCTTTGGTTTGCTTGTTGAATTGGACACACATTAACTTTGAACTCTGGTCATGCATTTCTATTCAGGAGGGAATCTTAACGCAGGGCTGCATGGGCTAGAAACAAAGAGCCCAGAGATTTTTTTTTTTTTTTTTCATGATTAGGTCACTGAAGAAGCAATTTTTCCACCTGTGAATTTATCAAGATTGGAACAACAAGGGACCCCAGAGAAGTCTGAGACAGAGGAGTGTTCTCCACTCCATGCTGGTTGCTTGGTGAGGCCAAGACCTCTGTTTCCTCACTTGTGTGAGAGACTGTGTCTCTGAAGTCCCCTTAGTTCAATAGTTTTATATTTCTGTCACCAACATTCTATGAAAACTTTGTTTTGTTTTTTTTTTGTTGTTTTGTTTTGTTTTTATACCATGAGCTAGAAAAGACACTTAAAAGAATCTTTTTCTTTATTTTCATGGGTTATTTTCCTACCCCACTGCAGTTTAGATCTCCCCTAAGGCCCAGTGTTGAAATTTCTCTCTTTGCAAAGGGTCACAGCCCTTTTAAAACACTTGTCACCTTCAATTGTAGTGTAAGACTATCAGAATATAAATCCGTTCTTTCTAAGCAAACTAAAGATCCCCGTGAACAGAAACCTTATCTGTTTTTTGTGCTTAGGATTCTTCTTAAGCCTGCAGGAGACTGGAAACAGCTGTAAAATACTGAGGAAGAGGGGTAGCTCCCACAACTTCATTTTTGTTGTTGTTGTTGTTTTTTGTTTGTTTTGCATTTGTTTCATGTGTGTAAGCATGTATGGAGATCAAAGGGCATCTTGTGGGTGTCAGTTCTCTCCTTCCACCACGTGGGTTGCAGGGATCCTCCTGAGGGTTTGTCAGGCTTGGCAGTAGGCACCTTCACCCACCAATCCATCTTGCCGGCCCTGCCATTCATAGTACCCAAATATTGAGAGCGTTATTACCATTATTGCTCTTTTTCTTCTACTAACACAGGGCTTGTGTGCACAGATTGCATATTAGGAATTCTACTGCCCCCCCCTCCAAAAAAAGGGAGTGGGGAAGAATTCTATGGCTTTGCCAGTTTTTAAAAATTGTGCTGATCAGGTTTCTTACATTTTTGGAAAATTCCTGAACTCAACTTGCACAGATTCATGGGTCTTTTGCTATCTGCTCAGTCCGGCTCATTTGACAAACTAAGTTTCACCTTGATGTTCCCCTGAAGACAGTGTTCAAGGTCTCTGCCAGAAGGGTCATCGGTGAACAGCGCGAATCCAGACTGTGCTGGCTTCCTCATTCCCGTGTCCTGGTTCAAAGTGTTCAAAAATTCTTCCACTGTGGTGGACGCATCAAACCCGACTACCTAGACAAAGACAGCACCCCTCTTAATGAAAACCACACACGCCGAGCCGGTCCCGGGGAAGCAGGGCGCACGCAATGCGTGACTAATGGGAATGGTCCCTCCAGGCACTTCAACTTTTTTGTCCAGTGCTCTGCTGGAGAAACCAAAGAAGGCGACTTTGGCGGCCAGCTTGCTATCAGAGATTTCAGCTGCAGCCAACAGAGAGAGGAATGTAAAACTGAACAGCTCTGTATATGACACAGAGGCATTAATTAGGTTTTTCCAGTGGAAGTAAGAAAAAAAAATACAGTACAACACACAGTCAATAGGCATATGAAAGAAAACACATTCATTTAAGTAAAGGAACACCTTTATGTATCAAATGTTTATCCTTTAAACAAAAACATTTAATTGTTTTGTTTGGTGTGTGTATGTCTGTGTGGCATGTGTCACACCAAGTTGTGTAGCAGTCAGAGGACAATTTGTGAGCGTGGGGTCTGGGGATGAAACTCAAGATGAAAGGCTTGTGGGTAGGAAGAGTAACTGTGAACTTTGTAACTGCTAACTCGGTAACCAATGATCTTCTGGACCGGAGAACTGGGGCAGGCTAGGGATGCTACCAGGTAATTCCTGAGATTTGAAGATTCTAAGACAGATGAGAATTGTGCCTGGGCTGTCCATCATGAGTTCAGTGCACTGCAGGCCCACCGGTGAGGAAAACTTGACCCCCATCGTTCTCGGCTTTGCCCGGTGTGGGTTTGTTTTGGGTGTCACTCTGCTTTAAGATTTGGCTGTTTCAGAGATCTGGTCTCTTGGCAGGGGAACTCACCTGGTAGATCCCATTCATGAAGTGCACCGGTATGCTGAAGGGCAGCGAGTGGTGGTAAGGGTTTCGAAGAAGGGTGGAAAGGATTTCCATTCTTGAGGGTCTGGCCTCTCGGTCTCCATTTTGTTGAGTTCTTTCCACACATCGCTGGCAGTAAATGGCATATTTCCCAAATTCTGTCCTGAAGTGCAAAACTTAGGGTAAAAACCTCAGAATAAATTTAATTAAAATACTCTAACGCATACAACTTTCACAGTACTATCAAACTTTGGGAATGTCATTGGATTTCAATTTCTCTAATTTTGCAACTGACTCAAACATCCACATGAAGATTTTTTTTCATCTTTCTGCATTTCTATAATCACAAGCTGAATTCTAAATTACCAGTAATTATACACTCAATATATAATCACTGGGTTAACAAATTGAAAGAAGATAATGTATAAAGAGTAATGTGTTATGACGAAGCTTCAGGGCAGAGTTCTCCACATTGACGCCCCCAGGTCTCAGGCATGGTAGGCAATCATTCTACTTTTAACTGACACCCCCTAGCTTCCCAGCATTCTCTTTTCAAGAGCATGCAGATTATTTCACTGTTAAACAAAGTAAGAAAACGCCTTCTACAAAAAGGGTATTATATAAATAATACACTAAGCAAAACCATTCAATTACATTAATATGCAAGTGGGGTCAAGAATTTATCTACCCTTCTTCATATACAGCATACGATTAAACACAAATTTTATTTTGTTTAAAGAAAATAACATTTCTAAATACATTTATACTCAAGTGCTTTCAAGACAGGCTCAGTGGTGTCATCCTTCGTCAGCACCTCCTCAGGCACTATAGTCACATGACTATGGTCACATGACCTTGATCACAGCTTCTTTAGACTGTAGATTATGGACCAAGGGATATTTTCTCTTGTATGTTTGTATGTGCTATTCCCAAGGTCTGTTTAGCACTCTAACGGGGGCCTCTTGGGCTGGGGTGTGCTCCCGTTGGAAGAGGCTCAATGGGCATTCAGGAGGCCCTGGGTTTGAGCCCCAGCACCACTAATCAAGCCAACAAAAACACCTCACATAAAACTCTCTCAGCTGACAAGATAAACCTGGAAAGGCCTTGGCATACTGCCTTAGACCCTAGTCTAAAAAGATCATTCTAATAATTAGGTTTTAAATATCCTTTTCAAGAAAAAAAAATCGGAAGCAATTCAAATACAATTTTAAAACAAAAGAAGACCATGAGGGAACACATCCACAAAAAGAATCTATTTCAGGTAAGAACAGTGAAAGGGGAAACTAAGAAAGCAAAGTAGTTGCTTTTGCCCATGAATGCCAAGTCATTCTAACTTGCAACATACACATAAAAATGTTGTTTGTAAGATCTTCAAGCTTTCCTAGCAATCCTGCATAAGATATTTAACGTGACAAAGGGAATGTTTTCTGGGCTCTACATGAAGGACAATGAAAGGCCTATTGTCTCAATATTGGCTTCACTCATTCTTTTGAGAATATACCCGGGAGGTTATTAAATACTTAGGATTTATGGTAGACTTTCGAGGCCACATAAATAGTTCAGCTGGCTAGCGTTCTGCACACCTGGAATCGGCATTCCTTTTCAGATGGAGCTGGAGGAGCCACAGGAAAGGGTGGTGGGGAAGGAAGAGACCCACGCAGAGGGCCAAGAGCTGCCAGCCCTGGGTAAGGAGAAGCACCGTTAATTAGAGACCGCACCAGCCGCACGCTTCAGAGCAGTGTGCCTGGCAAAGGGTGAGTGACTCTCTTAACCCTCACGGCTTGCCTCTTCCACATAATCTCTCCAGAGCATTTACATTACGTTAAAAGTGTAACAACTCAACCTTGGGTCAGAACAAGGCCCACCTAGTGGCGCCAACTCTTGACAGCTGCAGGACCAAAGCTTACCGGTAGATTCAGTGTCTCTTCCTGACATCTCACGCAAAGATTAGGGGCGCCACTCTCTTTTGGGCCTGTGTGTTTTTACTTTTCCATTGAAACAGAACTTAGAGAACAGTAGATTACGAAATAGTAAAAAAGTAAAAATAAAAATTGTATACTCCGACCCCCCCCATTCACTATAATACACATATAAGAGCAGAGTATAAAATGTTACCAGATTTATTTAGGTGATAGGTTCATATGTGACTCCCCCCCCCCCCAGTGTTCTCTTTTGTATGTATTTTTCCTCATTAAACAAATATAACATCAATATTTTTAAAAATCTTATCTTACAGAAAAATGTGGGAAGGATGGGTCTTGTCCTTGAGAAGCAGAATCTGGTACGAAAAGTTTATATAAACCCTCAGCAAATTATAATGGAACATACACCATGAATGAACTTTTTATAACCTGGAGGTAGTGGCTGGGCACACCAAGGAAAGACTTACTGGGAAGATATAGTTTGAGGTTGATTGTGAAGTGTAACCCTGGGGAGGCAGAAGGGGATCCAAGAAAAACAGTGCTGGGTGAAAGACAGAGGGAGTATTGCAAGGCGCTGTGCATTTGCAAAACAGGGTGTAGACGCTGCTCACTCGCTACTGAGCAGGGGAAGTTGTTCCCTGCTGAGGGAGCAGTAAAGAAAAGCTCTTAGGGCAGATTCTGCGCTTCAGCTTCCAAAGCCATTATGGGTGGCTGTGAGCTGTGTGGTGTGGGCATTGGGAACTGAACGCTATTCCTCTGGAAGAGCAGTTTATACTCTTAACAATCTCGCTAGTCCCTAAAGTGACCATTAAAAGCATAACTTTCCACTTTTTCCTGAAGCATGTTTAATGACATGGGAAAAGTGGTCATATTCTACGGTTTTAGAAGGGAATACGCACACTGTAACTCTGGCATGAAACACTGTCAGAGTATATAACCTCTATACACTTGCACACTTATATACAAGCATCTGATAGACAAGTAAACCAAAAGGATATACATCAACATATCAATGGCCATTTTCCTTTCATACTTGTATTTCCAGATGTCTACACTGAGCGGGTATCATTCTCACGATCAGAAGACACATGATAAATTGCACCAATATGCACCTGCAATGGTCCTGACTGGTTCTGCGGCTGTCTGCGTCTTGTCTGCTTAATAAGCTGACAGCAAATTTCATTCTGCAGCTCAGGATGTGTCAGGCAGACCTGTAAAGCGCTCTGGGCTAGAGAAATGTGGTAGTCAATGGCGGGGGAGTCGACCGCAGCGTTTATAAAAAGCTGGCATGTCTGAAAGGAGGAGAATATGGTCAAAGTGAGGAACGATCGGGTTTATTTTGCACAAATCATAGCCATTCTGGTTGTTTTTTTTTTTTTTTTTTTTAGCAATGGTTTTTATTTAAAACAAGAAAAAAGATGTATTCTGACAACTCCAATCAAAAGAAATCTAGAGTGGTTACTGTGATAGCACACCGAGAAGACTCAGAGCAAAAGGATTTTTGCTAAAGATAAAGAGGGTCATTTTATAATCGTAAAGGGGTCACGTCATCTGGAAGACAGTGATTACACTGTTGTCTAATAACAGAGCTTTAAAACTAATGTTTGCCTTACCCAGTCAGTCATTCATTTTAGCCATTTCATCTCAAAGTTCAGCTTGTATCTGTTAAATACTTTCCTTTGCCCTCCTTAAAATGCCCACGTGCCCCTTTCCTACACAAAGTACAGTAGCCTCCTGAGGAAGCATCATCCTGCATGTTCCTCAAAAGACTGTGCGGCTGGGGGATTTAGCTCAGTGGCAGAGTCTTCATTTCCCTCACCACCACCACCACCACCACCACCACCACCACCACCACCACCACCATCACGGCTTGAATTTTCTTAGACTCAAACTTTATTAACATAAATGATTACAGTCAGTTAATTACATGACTTGCCAACAAATGACAATTTTTACCTTAAATAACTTAATGGCCTCTGTCTGCAGAGCTTCCGAAGGCAGTGTGGTCAGAGGGGACAGGATCCCTTCTTTGCTGTGACACAGCATAGGATGTCTCCATATCTGGGAAGCTGAACACAGAAGAGCACATGAGCAGAGCGAGAGGATTCACATGCTTGGCTCCATTAGCTCATTCAGGCCTGGCTCACATTCTCCCAAGGGTTAAGAAAAAAAAGCCTCCCAGCAATGCTGTTTTTATCTCAGCACCAGTGCCCTGCAGTTCCCATGTTTTCTGTTCTGGAGGATGTGAATGCAGAAGAGTTGATGCTAACTGACACAATTCTACTTGCCATCACATTGCTCACACATGCCAATGGGTAGTGAGCCGGCTAGAGAGGTAACTTCAACAATAAGGATCTTGGAAAAGGTCTAGAGAGAAGCCTACTAGGAGGAGGTATGAAAATAATGAGGAACATGAAGTCGTCCCTGAAGGCTGCGCTATGGCCGGGCATGGAGCTCAGTGGCAGAGCATGCTGAGCATGTGCCAAGCTCTAGAGTCCATCCTATCACTGCTTCAGTACGGGTCAGTACACATGTAATGTGTTCTCTGTCAGTTAAACACAGAACAGACTCTAGAGTCTCAATGGAAAACCTTACATGACAGCTAATCTTGAATCTCGACAGGACAGAATTTAGAACTATGCCTCTAGGCATGTCTGCGAGGCATTTCCAGATGGCTTAGCAGAGAAGGGAAAACCACCCTGAATCCTGGGCCTCACTATTCCACAGGCTGGGGTGAATAAAAAGGAGAAAGGAGATGATGTGATCAGCCACCTCATCTACTGCCAAAGTTCCTTCCCCCCACACTCAGCGGACTGTATCCCCTCAAACTGCAAGCCCAGATTAACTCCTCCGACCTTAACTTCCTACTTAACTCAAATACTTAGCTGCTTCTCAATTATTTGATCACAGCAATAAGAAATGCAATAATACGTTATAGCAACATAAAGTTAATAATATGTTAACGTCAATATAAAGCTACAAATGCCTTAAAGGGGTTAAATGGGAAGGTGAATTGGGACTTAATTTCAACACTGATCAAGTGCCTCTTGAAATTCTGACTCTACCCTGCAGCGGGCTGGCTGAGGGACCTTCTAAGCCTAACCAGTATTTCATCACGTTAGAGAGAGGTGCCAAGGGCAGGGCGCCCCAGACAAAAGGAGCAACGTACACAGAGGCAGAGGGTTGGCAGGACAGAACACGAAGGAAGTTGACGTTTCTGGAGCCTTAAGACTTCTGGCCCCTTACGAGAAAGCCAGGGCCGGGGTGGGCGCGCCACAGGGAAAGAGTGACCCAAAGGTGAAAGCCCCACTCGGCTAAGGGTTTGGGCCCGGCTTTCAGGAACTCCACAGCCTGTGTGCTCAGGAACTTACACGGCTCTCCCTCTGCGTTGAGCAGTTTGCAAACCAGCTGTTCAAACTCGGATCCGACATTTACATTGTTACTTCCGGCCGCAACGGTGAGATGATAGAGCCAAGTGTCCTTCAAAAGAGAACAAGTCAACAGCAATGTTAGCCGGGATGGCCCGTTGATCTTAAGCCAAGGAGCAACTTGCAAAAACAGTAAAACAAAACAAAACAACAACAAAAAACAAATAAACCTTGAGACAGAGAAGAAAGAACTTTCCTTAATTTTTAATTTGCACATTTTAATGTCTGTGTGTGTGTGTGTGCGCGCGCACAAGCACAAGCTCAGAGGACAACTTGAGGAAGTTGGTTCTCTCTTTCTACCATGTGGGTTCCAGGGATTCGAACTCAGGGCTTTAGGCTTGCTGGCAAGCTCCCGATGAGGGCTGGCTCTCTTGAGCCATGCTCACACTGCCCCTCACTTTTCACTATATTCTATACATGCTTCTGAGAACAGCATAATAAAATGAAGGAGTCCAAAGGTTTTAAAATCTTTGATAGTTTGAAAATTTTGTCATTTTTCATATTTTCCAACAAAATTACATTTACTAATGATTAACTGCTTTAGTAAGTTGTTCAGTGGGCCATCTCTCATTTTTCTATTGGAAATGTAATCTATATATACATGTAAATATATAATCAAACAGGAAGCAGTAAATGCAAGGTTTGGGAGCCTGGATTCAGGAGTCAGAGAAGTGGCCTACACCTCAGCAGGAAAGTGCTTCTGTTTTTCTCTCTGTAAATGGAAACAAAACCATCTCCTGCAAGTAATGGCTGTAAAGATAGAGAGGCCTATGGAGTATTCTGCCTGAATCATGTGTTCAAATACAACCACCCACAGTAAGAAATTACTATTTACGTATTAAAACACATAGGAGCCTCACAGGGACCACTTGGGGTTTTTGTGACATATTTTAGTGGCATTTATGATCTTACTTGATATAATAGATTTTAATTTTTTAAAAAAATATTTGTTTTTATATGCGTAAGCATTTTGTTTGCATGTACCACATACTTGCCTCATGCCCTTGCAGCCTAGAAGAGGGTGTCAGAGCCCCTGAGACTGGAGCCATGGATGGCTGTGGGTGCTGAGAACTAAACTGGGCACTGTGCAGGAGCAGCAAGCTCTTGGATTTTACATTTTAAAGTCAAGCTTACAAACCATTGCCACTGTAATTTCTTACATTGTGTATTTCCTTAGAAAGCACTGAGCTCTGTAAGGGAAAAATTCATTACATTCTGCTAGCTCTTCAAATTCAGCCAGAACTTAATTTTTGACAATTGTATAAAATGAAAAATTAATGTTTTCCTTAAAAGCCAGTTTCACAAAAATACAGCAAGCATATACTACTATATATAATAAATATTACAATTCATTTCTTTCCCATCAATTTGTGATTTTCCCTTTATCACACATAGTTACATACATATAGCAAATATAATTATTCACTTTTTATTGTCTCTAAACCAAAGTTTTTACTGAAAAAAAAAAAAGAATAAAAAATGTTAGTGGCCTCAGAGTCACGAAAAAGGTCCAGCCTGTGAGGGTCACGTCTTTTAAACAAAAGGTCCTTTTGTCCCCCCCACTGTCACAATTAATTTTGATTTCAACACAACTTTTGTCAGTAGGTTGAAGACTGGCATGTTTAGATAAGGCTTATTTCCAGAGAGGTAGAGAATCTCAGAAAACAGAAATTGAATCTCCCCCACCCAAAAAAAAATCTGTTATTTCCATAAAATTGGCTTGAAATCAGCAGTACCTGAAGTATAACATCTGAAGCACTTTAGATCAACCGAGAAGACGTTAAATACCTTTTCGTGCTTGGATCCGATCAGCAGGTAAGTTGGGCCTTGGTCTTTGGGGTGGATAACGATGGTGTAGTGAGTGGATAACAGACAGCGTCCGCTGGCTTCATAATCTTCATCGGAGTCACAGGACCTGTCCACCTCCTCCACCTTCGCCTCCCACAGTTTGATCTGACCTAGAGGAAACTGAAGCAAAGGTCAGTGATGGTAAGGAAGGTGCTGTCTCAGCCTTTCCCTACTATAGGTTATAATGGTCCTTTTCATTTTTCCTTCTAAAAGGCATGCTTTGAAAAAGGAATTCCTCGCTGGAATCCAACTGTCAAGCTGGTTACAACTATAATGGCAATGGGCAGAAACCCTAACTGCGATATGAAACAACCGAATGACATTTAACACTTGAAGAAAAAAATAACAAGAATGGACTCAAGTGACTGATTCCTTGCTCAAGGTATAGTTTATATTTCAGCCAAAATACTCATTGGATTCAGCTGTCCTCACAGAATGGATGAATGGTTTGGTTAAGCTAGTGGAACAAAAGGGGGAGTGTAGACACAGGCTCCACATTGTTCATAGAGAAAATATCTACGCACCTGGCACAGAGGCTGCCTCAGACCCCCTAAGTGTCTACTCTTCTCAGACCATTTATCAAAGCGTGCTAACACATCCCTGGGAAAAGCTATGGTTCTTTCCATTGACGTTTAAAGGAAAGAAAACCTTCCTGCAGCTCATTTTGTTACAGTTTATCTGTTCTTGTACTGACTAACATAAATATGTCTTCCACCTTAGTCACTCAGCAGATCTGTTTTGAAACTTTTACACTAGTTAAGGACATTGCAGAACATTCTTCAGATTTATAGCTTCTAAAATATTTGGCCAGGTTTGCAATTGCGGGAATGACTTTTTTTTTTTTTCTGGTGGGGAAGGGTGTTGAGACACTGCCTCGCTGCAATCATCACCCATGTCAGCTTCCTGAGTACTGGGATTACAGGCGTGCACCACCACGCCTGGCTGCAAGGCTTCGAAAAAGCCCGCTCTAACCACAGGACTTGTGTTATCATCTGTTTCCACGATGCATTCCAGGGCTCTGTGCTTGGACTCCTTGTTCTGACCACCTACACACACGGTGGGTGACCTCATCCACCGTCATGGCTCTAATCCCGGTTAGCTACTCCCAGATGCCGAACTTCAGACTCATGGTCTGGCCTTGGGCGTCTCCAACTCCCGTCGACCAGTCTACCTCAAGCACCTGCTCCTCCCAGCCTTCCCCACAGCACTCGGTGACTTCATCTTTCCAAAAGTTTGCGCCAAAAATCTTGACAGCAATCACTGACCCTGTTCTTACCCCAACAGAAATCCCATCCACAAGACCTTCAGAATATGTGGTTCTTCTGAATAGGGTCAGCACCTCTACCAGTCACAGCTGTCTCTGGCCTGGATCATTCTAACAGTCTCCTAATTAGAATCTTCCTTGTTCCCTTCAGTCTGTTCCTAAATAGAAGCCCCGTGTCCCTGTGTGTGCTGCTGCCGGCTCTGCTCAAAATCCTCCAGTGAACCTTGTCTCTCTCCCAGTAAAAGCTGGAGGGGCCAGAACATGGTGTACCAAAGACATCTCTTTGGCATAAAAGATTATTTTGTATTATAGCTGTTTTCAAAATAAAATAAAAACCCACAAAGTTTAAGAAGCACTCTGACTTCTTTTTTTTCTTTCTTTCTTTCAAGTAGGAGAGAAAACTTCCATATGGAAGATACTCTTTTGGTGATAGGCTGAAAACAACATTCCTAACAGCCAGATGAGAAGCTGAGGACCTGGAGAGCCCACACAGAAGTCTTGCCTGGCCTGGCCTGCCAGGTGCTTCACTCAGTTAGCTACCACAGCCTGGCTCTGGGCCTTTCTGTCTTCCCTGCCCTTCGTCCAGTTTCACAGATGCATGGGTCTTCATTTCCTGACAAAGCCTGCATGTGTCCTCTACAACTTACGTTCAATAAGCTTGTACACTTTTCTCCTATAACCTGTCTCAGGTCAGTTTCAGGCCTACCAAAAACCCAGCCAACATAGGGAAAATTTTTGCCTCCCTTAAAAGCCAGCATCTTTAACTTTGACCTACTGGGATCTGTATGGTTCAGCCCCTGTCATATACCTCACCTCATCTCCCACTATCCTTTTCCTAGTGTGTTCCAGTCCAGTCACACTGACCTCACTCTTTCTAACACAGCAGGCATGCTCCTGCCTCAGGGCCTTTGCATTTGGTGCTCCCTCTGCCCGGAATATTGTCAGAGCTGTTCACATGGTTGAACTTTTTACTTCCTTTAGCATCCAAAGATAAGCAAGATCTTACTGAGATAGGGCATAGAGAACAGAATAACATCTATCTAGCGGCTGCTTAATACAAAAATTTACTTAATTAAACATCGTCTTTCACATGAAATGTGTTTTTTGACAGTCTTTTTAATAAAAAGTTATTTTTATTTTATATGTATGTGTTTGTCTCTCTATGAGTATGGCATGTGTCTGGGGTGCCAGCAGAGGCCAGAAGAGGGTGTCAGATTCCCTGGAACTTGAGTTACAAGTGATTGTGAGTGTCTCAGTGTGGGTGCTGGGAACCAAGCCTGGTCCTCTAAAAGAGCATCCAGTGCTTTGCTCTCTCTCTCTCTTGCCCCAAAATATGATTCTTGACTCATTAAATCAATAATAAATATAATCTGAGCACTGAGTAAAAAAAAAATACTTCTAAAAGAAAAATGCAAACGTATCTACATTTTTGGAAAAAAAGAAAGGTGAAAAAAAGGCCCAGCAAAGCTATGAATTTCTAGAACTCATCACCTCAATATTTAATACAGTCATTTTTTACATTACAGGGGTCACTGTATGCTCTGGTTTGGATATGAAGTATTGTCCCCAAGGACCCATGTGTTGGGATGTGGTCCCTAGCTGGTGTGCCATTTTAGAGCTTCTACAACTTCAGGAAGTGGGACATCCAGGGGAAGGGGGTCATCAGGCCATGTCCCTGCCCTCTGTTCCCTCAACTCTTCTAAAGATGAATTCACTCATCCAACCTTCCTGAAAGTCACACGTGTCCCCAGTGCCACATCAAACCTTCAACGCCCATTTTTTCCAGCTCTGAGTTCAGCGCGGAATGCTGAATGCATTGTGCTGGGCTCAGACCTAAAGCTTCAGGCAGCATTGCTATACAAGCCCTTCCCTCTCCCTTCCAGACACACCCTTCCTGATGGCTGCAACTGTTACCTCCCATGCCCCTGGCAATACCAAGAACAACGGCCTGGGTGCTAAACACGGCTGCAGACCTGAGAGTACCACCTGTGGAAAAGGACCAGGGAAATAACTGACCCACATGCTCACTGGACTGAGGCTAGGGGCATTAACCAACCAGCCACATGCTTCTCTTCTGTGAGTCGACATGGTCATTGTATACAAGTGCTTCAGGCATCTGTATTAGCTAAATTCATGTCGTTACAGTAATACCAAGGTGACTGGGTGCCCACAATGACTTGTGATCCTTTCACCTTCGGTAGATGCCCATCTTTCTACTTTCAAAGTGAAGATTACTCAAGTTCCTGGGAGTGAGGGGGATATCAGTTTTAAAATGAGCAGACAGGACATACACATGCAAATGGCTGACGGGTGAGTGGTAGCCACGCATCTGTGGGCCCACCGGTCCGGAGTCCTGTTCTTCCCCTGGCTATCCTTCCTAATCATGGCAAAGTGGACTAAAATGAGGCTTTGCTCCTCTGGAGCTTAGAAAGTGCACTGGGTACAAGCTATTGAGCTAAAATTTAACATCCAGGACAAGCAGTTTATTACCTTAGTGATAACTCCCAGTTACCAAAAATTCTATAGGTTTACCTAGCAACAGAAAAGCAAAAAAAAAAAAAAAAAAAAAAAACAAAGAAAGAAAAGAAAAGTTTTTAAGCCACCATAAAGGAAAATTCTCTCATTGGGATACTAAGATGCATACATACCTTATCCTCTTGACTACGAAAATAATACAAGATCTTTCCAACAAGCATACACCAGACCCTCTTGGAGTAGCCGTGTTTCACCTGGAATTATATTTCAGTGGATTAAAAGGTAGGTTAGAAGTCTGGGAAATTGCAGCGGGGTTTATACATTCTCTGTGAGGTCCAATAGGTGCTTGCTCAAGCTGGACCTGGGATTCTGAGCGGGCTGCTCAAACGCCGCCTGAGATTTGCCTGTGACAGCAGCTAACGCATCGCACAGACTGCTTGCTTTACAGTGCGTCATGTAATACTTCCTGAGAGTTCGCTGGGTGTCACAGGCAAGGGTTTCAACTAGAACAGAGGTTCTCAACCTGTGGGCCATGACCCTTTCTGGAGAGGTGATCAAAGGACCTTTACACAGGGATCACATATCAGATATCCTGCATGTCAGATATTTATGTTATGATTTGTAACACAAAAATTATCATTATGAAGTAGCAATGAAAGTAATTTTATGGTTTGGGGGTCACCACAACATGAGGAACTGTATTAAAGGGTCGCAGCATTAGGAAGGCTGGCCTAGGATAAGAAGCCGAGTTCACAATTAAGTTTCTTTCATAGTTTCCTTACTTCAAAGATTTCCAATTACCCAGCTGCTCTCTGGATTAACATATTAATGTTCAAATGAGGAAGATTAAAACCTGAAGAATCCTGGTGATTTCCCCAGGTGAGAAAAAAAATTTCATTCAAAAATGTGTTGCTTTAGCACATACAAACAACTTAATGGCCCAACTGAAAACCCTAGAAAAAAAAGAAGCAGATACACCCAAGAGGAGCAGAAGGCTGGAAATAATCAAACTCAGGGCTGAAATCAATCAATTAGAAACAAATAAAACTATTCAAAGAATCAATGAAACAAAAAGCTGGTTCTTTGAGAAAATCAACAAGATAGACAAACCCTTAGCCAAACTAACTAAAAAGCAGAGAGAATCTATCCAAATCAACAAAATCAGAGATGAAAAGGGTGACATAACTACAGACACAGAGGAAATTCAAACAATCATTAGGTCATACTACAAAAGCCTATATGCTACAAAATTTGAAAATCTAAATGAAATGGACAATTTTCTTGATAGATTCCATCTTCCAACATTAAGTCAAGATCAGGTAGAAAGACTGAACAGCCCTATATCCCCCAAGGAAATTGAAGCAGTCATTCACAGTCTCCCCTCCAAAAAAAGCCCTGGGCCAGATGGTTTCAGCGCGGAATTCTACAAGACCTTCAAAGAAGTGCTCACACCAATTCTCCTCAAACTATTCCACAAAATAGAAACAGAAGGTACATTACCAAACTCATTCTATGAAGCAACAGTCACCCTGATACCTAAACCACACAAAGACCCAACAAAAAAAGAGAACTTCAGACCTATCTCTCTTATGAACATTGACGCAAAAATACTCAATAAAATACTTGCAAACCGAATCCAAAAACACATCAAAGATATCATCCACCACGACCAAGTAGGCTTCATCCCAGGCATGCAAGGGTGGTTCAACATACGGAAATCCATCAATGTAATCCACCACATAAACAAACTGAAGGAGAAAAACCACATGATCATCTCCTTAGATGCTGAAAAAGCATTTGACAAAGTCCAACATCCGTTCAGGTTTAAAGTCTTGGAGAGATCAGGAATACAAGGCACATATCTAAACATAGTAAAGGCAATATACAGCAAGCCGATAGCCAACATCAAACTCAATGGAGAGAAGCTTAAATCAATCCCACTGAAATCAGGGACAAGACAAGGCTGCCCACTCTCTCCCTACCTCTTCAACATAGTACTTGAAGTCCTAGCCAGAGCAATAAGACAACTAAAGGAGATCAAGGGGATACAAATCGGAAAGGAAGAGATCAAAGTGTCACTATTCGCAGATGATATGATAGTATATATGAGCGACCCCAAAAATTCAACCAGAGAACTCCTCCAGTTGATAAACACCTTCAGCAAAGTGGCAGGATACAAAATCAACTAAAAAAAAAATCAGAAGCCCTCCTGTATACCAAAGACAAAAGGGCCGAGAAAGAAATTAGGGAAACAACACCCTTCACAATAGCCACTAACCACATAAAGTACCTTGGGGTGACACTAACCAAGCAAGTGAAAGACCTGTTTGAGAAAAACTTCAAGTCTCTGAAGAAAGAAATTGAAGAAGATCTCAGAAGATGGAAAGATCTCCCATGCTCATGGATTGGTAGGATTAACATTGTGAAAATGGCCGTCCTGCCAAAAGCAATCTACAGATTCAATGCAATTCCCATCAAAATACCAACTCAATTCTTTACAGACCTTGAAAAAAAGATTCTCAGCTTCATATGGAGAAACAAAAAACCCAGAATCTCCAAAACAATCCTGTACAACAACAGATCATCTGGAGGTATCTCCATCCCCGATCTCAAGTTGTACTACAAAGCAATAGTAATAAAAACTGCATGGTATTGGCATAAAAACAGAAAGGAGGATCAATGGAACCGCATAGAAGATCCAGAAATAAACCCACACACCTATGAATACTCGATATTTGACAAAGAAGCCAAAACCATTCAATGGAAAAAAGACAGCATCTTCAACAAATGGTGCTGGTCCAACTGGATGTCCACATGCAGAAAAATGAAAATAGATCTATATTTATCACCCTGCACAAAACTAAAGTCCAAGTGGATCAAAGACCTCAACATAAAACCAGATACTCTAAATCTGTTAGAAGAAAAAGTGGGGAACAGCCTAGAACTCATTGGCACAGGAGACAACTTCCTGAACAGAACACCAACAGCACAGGCTCTAAGAGCAACAATCAATAAATGGGACCTCATGAAACTGAACAGTTTCTGTAAAGCAAAGGACACTGTCATCAAAACAAAACGCCTGCCTACAGATTGGGAAAGAATCTTCACTAACCCTTTATCTGACAGAGGACTAATATCGAGTATATACAAAGAACTAAAGAAGCTGAGAAGCAGCAAACCAAGTAATCCAATTAAAAAATGGGGAACAGAGCTAAACAGAGAATTCTTGACAGAGGAATATCGAATGGCAGAGAAACACTTAAAGAAATGCTCATCCTCATTAGCCATCAGGGAAATGCAAATCAAAACGACCCTGAGATATCACCTTACACCCATCAGAATGGCCAAAATGAAAAACTCAAGGGACAACACATGCTGGAGAGGTTGTGGAGAAAGGGGAACCCTCCTCCACTGCTGGTGGGAATGTAAACTGGTACAACCACTCTGGAAATCTATCTGGCGCTTTCTAAGACAATTAGGAATAGTGCTTCCTCATGACCCAGCTATACCACTGCTAGGTATATACCCAAAGTTTGCTCAAGTACACAAAAGGGATATTTGCTCAACCATGTTTATAGCAGTTTTATTTGTAATAGCCAGAACCTGGAAACAACCCAGATGTCCATCAACGGAGGAATGGGTACAGAAATTGTGGTATTTTTACACAATGAAATACTACTCAGCAATCAAAAAGGAGGAAATCATGAAATTTGCAGGCAAATGGTGGAATCTAGAAAAGATCATCTTGAGTGAAATATCCCAGAAGGAGAAAGACAAACACGGTATATACTCACTTATATAGACCTATAAGATATAATAAACATAATGAAATCTATACACCTAAAAAAGATAATCAAGAGAGCGGACATGGGGTAAGATTATCAATCCTCGTTTTGAAAGACAGATGGGATACGCATTGAACATTGACAGGAGTCTACTGAGCGCATTTGAAAGACTCTACCTAGCAGTGTTTTCAAAGCAAAGACTCATGACCAAACCTTTGGCAGAGTACAGGGAATCATAAGAAAGAAGGGGAGTTAGACTGATGAGGAAAGGATAGGAGCTCCACAAGGACCAAAGATATCTGGCACAGGGTCTTTTCTGAGACTGACATGCAACCAAGGACCATGTATGAATGTAACCTAGAACCTCTGCTCAGATGTAGCCTGTGGTAGCTCAGTAACCAATTGGTTTCCCATAGTGAGGGGAACAAGGACTATTTCTAACAGGAACTCAATGGCTGGCTCTTTGGCCTCCCCACCCCCCAAGGGAGCAGCAGTCCTGTTAGGCCACAGAGGAGAGCTTTGCAGCCAGTCCTGAGGATACCTGATAAAACAGGATCAGATGAATGGGGAGGAGGTCCCCCCTATCAGTGGACTTTGAAAGGGGCACGGTGGAGAGGAGGGAGGGAGGGAGGGAGGGACTGGGAGAAAATGAGGGACCGGGACACGGCTGGGGTACATAGTTAATAAAATGTAACTGATAAGAAAAAAAAAATCCAAAAAAAAAAAAAAAAAAACCAAAAATGTGTTGCTTTGTCTGGAAGGAACCGTACAGAATGGCGCAGTGCCATTAAGGGCTGTCACTGTGTTGAGGCTGAGACCTGCTCCACTCTGGCCCGTGTGGACAGCATCCGAATGTAGCCCTTGACTGTGTAGAGCCGGAGGTTGACAAGCACGAGACACAGCCTCCCTCCCCAGGCGCTCACAGTCTGTGCTGGGAACATCTTGCCATGTGTTTAGATGAGTACTGGGACGGGTCGTAGCTCTGGACTGTGTGTTCCAACCTGCACCAGTCCTGCTCGGGCATAGGCATTAAAGTCTACACCAGACAGGCCCTGCTATATCCTCCATTCCACAAGAACATGAAGAAACCATTCTCAACAGTGGGCAGATAAAGATTATCTAGAATATTTTGTTCACACACATACAGACGCACAAAACCACACACGCGTGCGCACACACACACACACACACACACAGACACAGATACACAGACATAATCACACACAGACACAGAGACACAGACACAATCACACACACGCACACACAGACACAGAGACACAGACACAATCAATCACACACACGCACACACAGACACATACACACAGAGCTACACAGACATGCTCAGTCACACACACACACTCACGCACAGAGATAGAGATACACAAACACACACAGTCTCTCTCTCTCACACACGCACTCACTGGTGTCCTCAGGCAAGTGACTTACACGCCTCCCTAGGCTATTGTTTG